CTGATGTGTGCCGTGCTCTGCTGTGCCCTGCCGTGCCCTGCCGGGTGCTGTGCCCGGGCATGGGCTGGGATCAGCCCTGCTGTGCCCTGCTGTGCTGTGCCGTGCCCTGCCGGGTGCTGTGCCTGAGTTCGGGCTGGGATCAGCCCTGCCGTGCCCTGCCGTGCCCATGTACGGGCTGGGATCAGCCCCACTCCTGTGCCGGGTGAATCCCCTGTCCCTGCCTGTCCCAGGCCTGGCTGCAGCCCTGTCCCGGGTGATGTGGGGCTGCAGAGCTCTCCGCCCTGGCTGGCACCATCACCCTGCTGCCCACAGCCTGGCTCCCTTCTCCCCTGGCTCCAGCAGCTCTTAGCCAGGCTCCAAGTTTAGATACTCCCGCTCCAGGCTGGGCGTGGATCCCCAGCCCAGCAGGGAGTGAAAGGCTCTTTATCCCACCTTTCCTTCGCCTGTTTGTTTGATCCCTCCCACAAGTTTTTCCGGTGCCGCGGTTTTCACTTCTGCCTGGTTATGCCACGGGTTTCAAACCTGAATGGAGTATTTATCTAAATATATCCAAATACATCCCTGTAATTCCTCGCGACTTCTGGGGGCAGTGAGTGATCCAGGATACTTTTTGGACTTGGGCAAAGGGGCAAATGGCTGCAGGGTAATTCAGCGTTGTCCTGCAGGCCAAGCCAAAGGGGGCTGGCAGGTCCAGGTTAGGCTGGCGTTCCCCTGCCCCTGGAGCCTGTGTCACCCAGGGCAGCTGGGACACGCCTGCCGTGCCTCCCCGTGCCTCCACACTCGCTTTTCTAAGAGGAGCAGAGACAAAATTATATTAATGAGAGCCTTGATGCTTAACAGAGCTACAGCTCCTGAGGAGAGGTGGGTACTGGTTCTTCTGGCAAGTGGCTAAATAGGGGTGAATATTTAAGATGCTGTATTTATTCAGGCTGTAATGACATGCTGCTTTTTTTGAGAGAGTATGTTTCATCAAAAGCAAGTGTTCTGTTCCCTGTTCCCTATCTTGTGTGGTGGCATTTCCTCCTCCCCTGTACTTTTTATTTTTTGGCTAATTAAACTATTCAATTACAATTCCTTTTTTTCTTTTTTTTTTTTTTCCTTTTTCTCATTTCACTGCTGTGCCATTTTACTTCAGTTTATTTTGTGTTTTAAAATGGCTTCTATTTAAATTTGGAAGGGAAGAAAAATAAATCTGCTAAATATATTTCTATTCAGATCATATGTTGTGGCTTTTCTCTTTTTGAAGAATGAGGTCTAATTTTTGAACCTGAATTCACTTGGCACAAGTCTTGGCTTCAGCAATGTTGGGTTTCCTTTTGTTTTAAAGTAATTCCCTTTTTCCTACTGCTGGGATACATTTATGTCTTCGTGCTAGCAAAGCTTTTAGGCATGTGTTTGGTTTGAAAATGTTCATCGGAGCAAATATGGGCAGAGGATTTGAGGATGAGGCTGTCAGTGACTTTTATGGTGTTTTATGGTGGTCCTTGGTGAGATGCTGTGGACCTGGAGCACCATCAGTCCTTTCCCACTACCCATGCACATCCACTTTGGATAAATCTTTGCAAAAAGATGCAGCACATCATTTTCCTTTCCTTTTTGTCCCTCTCTCTGAAAAGCCAGGCCTTGTTCCTTTCACGCAGGGGAGGGTGGGGTTTGGGTTTTTTTGAGGGAAAGGGAGTTTATTAAATATTTGCTGCATTCAGAAGAGAGAAAAGGTAGAAATAAGCAGGAGAATCTAAGGTATATTCAACAGCAGAGGGATTAATTCACAATTATGTGAAGTTGGAAGTTTTTTTTAATTGATTAAAGCTTTATCTTAAGCACTTCAGTATGGCTAGAATATGTTTCTCAGTGAGGAATGTGTGACTGAGAAACATGGAAAGAACAGCTGGGGGAAAAAATAGCTAAGAAAAATGGAGATTTTATGGTGTTTCTGACAAGCTGTGTCACTGCCTGTTGTCCCTAAAGTCACAGTCCTCAAAGCTGGACTGTTTGGGTCATCTGAGTTCCTGGGCTTTCAGAGGGGTTTGAGACACGTTTTTCTGTGAATAGGAATTTCTGACAAGGATGTGTAACTTAGCTGCACCCTTCTGAGAAGGTTTCTGGAGGACAGAGGAACTGTGAGGCTGTTAGTTAGCCCCAGTCCCAACGCTGCTTGTTTCAAACTGTTTTGCTCTCTCTACTTAAAACTTCATCTGCTATAGCAAGAAAGGAAGCAAAATGTAGATGCTTCAGAGCAAAGGTATGAATAAAATCTTCTGCCTGTAGAAAATGGGAGATGGAAAACCACAGCTCCAGCAAGCAAGCACGACTAAACCAAATGTATGCATTGAGGGAGAGAAGCCCTTAGCATGCATGGTAGCAGAAGATGTCATATAGGAGATCTGATTTATGGTGGAAACCTCGACTTTTGGCCACGCTCTGAGGTCAGGTTTCTGAGTAAAACGTGCATTGCTGAGTCAGGCCAGTGGGTCCTTGAATTTTCTGGTCTGAACGTGATGTAACATCGCTCCCCTCTAGCCTCAGGTTCAGGTACTTGGTGGGTGGAGTGGGGTCCTGTTTGTGACTGTGTATTCTTCATGGGGAGTGGGTAAGTTTAGTGCCCATGCCCAGCTGTGAGGTGCTCCAGCCCTTCCCCATCTCAGGGGATAATGCAGTAAGACACAGAACACCTTTGTGGAGGGAGCCCTGGGGTGGCTCAGCCTTGATGGCAGAGCCATGCTGGGGTCTTGGGAGTGGGCTGGGTGCTCAGCACCCCGCAGGACCTGCCCTGTGCCCTGCACCTCGTCCCCTTGCTCTGGAGGTCCTGTAGCCCCTGCAGCCCTGTCCTTTACCCTGCAGCCCTGTCCTTTATCCTGAAGTTCTGTCCCCTTACCCTGCAGCCCTGTCCCCTTGATGTGGAGGTCCTGTAGCTCCTGTAGCCCTGTTCCCTTGCTCTGGAGGTCCTGTAGCCCCTACAGCCCTGTCCCCTTCGCTGCAGCCCTGTCTTCTGCCCTGTCCCCTGGCCTGTCCCCTGCCCTGTCTGTGCCCAGCAGCCCCTGACCCGCGGCGCTCCCCTCCCCTGCTGGTGGGGTGCCCGGGGTGCCCCCCTGCCCGGCGGCAGCGCTGATCCTGCCCCTCGGAGGCTGGATCTCTGCTCATTAGCTGCTGTTTGCTGAAACCGGATACCTGGGGCACCCCCGCCAGCCCGGAGTCCCCGGGCTGCAGCTATTTAAAAGGACAAGGGCAGCCTCAGAACTTCCACCTCTTTCACATCCATGTGCCTCCCAGCGTCCGCTCCCCACCGCCCTTCTCTCCTGGCTGCCTGCAGCATCCATGACCCACGAGAGCAGCGACGGCCCGAGGGGGACGTGCCAGCCCCGGGGAAGGATTATCTGCTGAACTTGGGGGGACCCCAGAGAGCCCCGGCTGGCCCCGGGCCCCTCACCCCGGCCGCCTCTCCCGGGCTCGCAGCGCAGGAGACACCTTGAGGGGAAGGAGGGAGGAAGGGGCTTTGTTTGAGTTTTTTCTTCCTCCTTTTTTTTTAATTTTTAAAAATTTTTTAAAAATTATTTTTTAAATCGTTATTATTTTTAAAGAAGTAGCAATTGCCGTGAGCTGCTGGGACAAATGAATGCCCACGGGCATGGGGTTGCACGGAGATGCTGCTCAGGCTCTCAGCTCGCTGCAGAGTAAGTGCCCGAGGCAGAGGTGCTGCCAGGGGGAGGGAGCAGGGCAGGGGCACCGGGGTGCAGGGAGGAGGTGGCACCGCTGCCCTCACCTCCTCAGGGAATCAGGACAGCAGGGACCTGTCGGTCGCCCTGGGGCTCCACGGCTGGCTGGGTGGGACTTTGGATGAGGAGGGGAAGCAGGGATGAAGGTTTTATCCACATGTGGAAGTCCCCTCTCCTGCCACAGCTGGCCAAGAGGATTTGGGATCCAGCTTGTCCTGATGGACCTCGCATAGGGAAACTCACTGCCCCGTTCCTGCCCTCCGGGATGCAGATTCCATCCCTCGGTGCTGGGAGGAGAGGGGCTCTGGAGATGTCCTGGGGAAGCAGAGCAGCTCAAGGAGGGGAACAGGGGCATGGGGGACTTTTTTCCCCCAAGCCTGAGTCCCATCCACAGGCTCCCAGCTGCCTGCACCAAGCGCTGATCCCAAGGGAAAAGCCATGTCAGGTACTTTATAAGGTGGGTCCAGGCTGGTTTGGAGCTCCTGGCCCTGGACAGGTGAGTGCAGGGGGCTGCAATTTCCATCAGCAAAGAAGGGCCTGAGCTTCCCCTGGGGCCTGGACAGGGTCTTCAATTCTTTCCTAGCAGTTCTGGCCAAAAGAGTTTCTTTTTTTCTTTTTTTTCTTTCTTTCTTCTTCTTCTTTTTTTTTCCCCCCAAATTATTTATTTATTTTGTATAATTTCTCGTAAATGCTTCGCTATTACAGAGGAGGGCAGCAGAGAGAGGCAGTAAGGACATCCTTAAATAATTTTCATTTCTCAAAATCTGCCTTTTCCTCTTCTCTCTAAGTCCAGAGGAGAGATCCTTGGGGGGTGGGAGGCACATCTGCATTGCAAATAAAAATAATAATTACAACCACCAACCAACCAGCAACAAAAAATGTAACAGCTAAGAAAAAACACTTGAAATCACGGACTTTGGGAATCAGAGATCACAGAAATTGCACTAATTATAAGGAGAGGAAAAAAAAAAGGCAAGAAATCCAGCGACCATGGGCCAGCCTGGCTTCCTAGAGTGTACTTTGTGTTCTCTCTCCTTTTTCCAAGGTAATTGCAGTCTGCCGAGAGGGAGTTAAATGGGATTAAAAGATCTGTGTAAGCAAAAGGACCCAGAAGAGAAGGAGGAAGGAGTGAGCCGTCCGGGCCAGGGGTGTCTGTGACACAGCTGAACCCCTTAGCGAGGCAGAGAGCCGAGCTCCTGGGAAGGATGTACCCACAAACCGCCTTATCCCCCGATTTCTGATGGATTGCCGCAAAAATTGCCCGAAAGAGACAATGCACTAAACGTGATGGAGCCGGAATCAGAGCCGGTCTCCAGACTCAGAGCTACAGCGGCAGGCAGGGGGTGAGTACAAACTCCGCTACTCCCGGCGCTGGGGAAGGGAATCCCGGGCGGGCTGGGGGTGCCGGGGAGCCGCGGGATCCCGGGAATTGGGAGCGGGGTGGGGGAAGACATTCCTCTGCCAGGGGATGATGTGAAAACTCCGGCTCTGGAGAGGAGAACGGGCTGCGAGCGGGGAGGCCACGCTGCGGAGCGGGAGAAACGGGGCTGCGGTGTGCGGGGGATCGGCGGGGGGGGCCCCCAGCGCCCCAGCCCCACGCCCCGGGACGGGGCTCCCAGCCCGGGGGTGCTCCGGGAGGCGGTGCAGGATGCAGGAGCTGCCCCTCCAGCCCTCACCCTGCCCTGCCCGGGGGGGTCCCAGCCCCTCCTGCAGCAGCGGCTGCTGCTCCTCAGCCCATCCCTCGGGGACACGGGTACCTGGGTCGTGCTGCGGGAGGTGGGGGAGCCCGGGGGGCTGAGGCACGGCGGAGGTGCGCGGGGGCAGCTCCTCTTCATGTGCTCGGCGCGCACAAAACGCTGCTCCCTCTCCGTCCGTGTATGAAAGGATCCCGGCGCACACGCTGCCCGTCCCCCTTCTCCCACAGCTGGGGCCAAATTTTACTGTTTTCGTTGTTAAGCGCGTTGTTGGTGGTGGTTTTGTTGTTGTTGTTGTTATTTTCCTGGGATCCCGCAAAGGGTTAATCCCGCTGGCTGCGTTGTCGGATGTACTGATGATTTACCGACACTCCCTTGGAAAGGCTGGGATTCTTCTGCCTGGCAGTTTGAAAAAGTTGTGTACAGGATCCCTCTGCCCGGCTGGGCTGGGAGATGGGGGAAAGAGGGGGACCGGAGCCAGGGGATTTGGGGGCAGCCCCCCTCCACAGCCGGGGTCATCCTGCTGCCGCCCCTTCCCCAGAGCCGGAGGATGAATGTGCAGCTCCCTTTGGAGGCTCAGTCTGTGCGTGGAGTTACACGGAGAGCCCAAACCCCTTCCCAGGGGCTGCATCTGCTCTCCTTGACAAGTTTTCTGTGTGTTTATATACTCACAAGGGCTGAATCTCAGCGCTTTAGGGTCCTTGCGGTGTGGGGGTTTTCTTTGGGATTTTTTTTTTTTTCGTAGATGTGGCTGTGGCGTGTCTGGAGCCGCTGGTAACTGCAGCATCTCCCAGTTACACTTTTTTAGTGCTGGGAATGGTCTGGGAGAACCGCCTGGCACCCTGCGAGGGTGGCTGGCGTCAGAAAGGGAGCAGCCCCAAGGGGAACGGACAGATAAAGGTTCCTTTGAACGAGCACGAGCAGCGTGTCACAGCGAGGGGACGGCTCTGGAGCGACACTTGGCACCAGGCACAGCCCCTGACAGGGCACCAGCTGCTCGGCCTGGCCGGGGCTCGGCGCGGTCACGCTATCCATGAGGACAGCGATGCTGCCCGAGTCCCAGGTGTGCCTGGGGACAGATCCGAGCCGTGTGAGCGCGGCTCAGGAGGGACCCTGGGCAGGCAGCGTGGCTCCCGGCCTGCCGGAGACCCGGCTCTGCCTCGGGGTGTCCCCGTTTGGCACAGCCCTGCCGTGGGCTTTGAGCCGGGCAGTGCTCGATCTGCCCTTGGTGTGTGCCGGTGCCTCGGCAGGAGCGCCTTTTGTGGGGGTCCGGGCTGGCCTGTCCCCTGCCGCTCCGGTCCCTCCTCAGCAGAGGTCGCTTGCTGCCCTTCGCATCGTCTCCCGCGGGGATTTTCGGGGCTGGATCTGAGTCTCCTGGCAGAGCGCCGTGCATCCCACCGCCCCCCCGGCTGCAGAGTCCCCCCGGGGCCGCTGCTCTTGGGCAGGGTGTCCTGAGCCCGCTGCTGGCATGGCCCTGGGCTGGCTGAGGGCTGTGTGCCTGGGGACAGCTGTGATGGCAGTGATCTGGTACTCCCGTGTGGCACTAGGGTCCCTCTAGTACTCTGCAGCTGATTCTGGAGCAGGGCTGGTGGCCGGGGAGCTGGTGGCCCTACGGGAGACCTGCGGGTGACCCAGGGGAGGAGCGGCAGTCGCAGGGTGTGCTGGAGGACTTGAGCTGCCAAAGTTTGTAAAACCAGAAGAACACAAAGTTTTACAGGCTCTTCAAGCTTAGTGTGCCCATCTCGGTAATTTCTGGTGAGCACAGGCCCCCCAAAACACAGGGGAGGGTTTGCATTGCACTGCACATCGAGTCCAGGTGCTGTTCCACGGTGCGACTTTGGCCCATTCAGCCCCAGTGCCACTCGCTGGCCATGGAGGAGGCTCGATGCTCCTGGGGACCTCCGATGGGTGACAGCCTGCTGTCACAGCCCTGGGGGGGTGGCACAATGCTGCTCTGGGGCTGCCTGGCCCGTCTGTGTGCACACATGGTACTGCAGCATCCACCCGGCACCATCAGGGTGGGTCAGCCCTGGGAAGGCCTGAAAGAGCTGGAGGGAGGCATGGATCCTTTTCAAGAGGAAAAGAGGATTGCTTGCAAGCTAGGCAGGTGGTCTGGGGACAGATTATGGCACTGCTGGACAAATTCAGCAATAGCAGCAAATGATGTGTGTGCTGGGTGCTTGGGGGTAGAGAGGAGGCAATTGCACCTGGAGATGTATCTCATGAGGGATAGACAGCATCATAGTCCAGGACCACCCTCCTGCTATTTCCATGTGTCTCTCTGAGTGTGTGCTTTATTAAAATAAAGCTCCAGCTTCATCCTCTTTCTGCAATGGGTTGAGGGGTTAAAATCTGCCCTGCTTTATGTCTCTGTTCATGGAGATTCTGTTACTGACTGAAGGTTGCCCAGGTTTGTGGTGAGATTGGTGTTGGAAATCTCTGCCCAGGGACAAACACAGGGTTTCTGGGGTTTTTTCCCCTCCTTCCCTTTCTTTGCCAATTTGTTGGGGACATAAGTAGAAATGATGGACGCTTTTACTGAAGCAAATGGAAACAATGGGGAATTCTATATGGCTCTGCCAAACCCCATTCACAAAATGAAGGAATGCAAAGGCATTTGTTGGAAGGACAAAAAAGGAGTTAGATGACAGATCAGGCTTAGCACTTCTGTTTGTCGAGGGCTCCAGTTACTGGAGAGCACAAAGGCCAGGGCCAGCACTGAGTGTTGTCACTTCACACAGCAGCAAAGCCAATATCCCAGACAGACAGGGATGGGGAGCGAAGGGCAGGGAGTAGTGGGTTCCCAGGAAAGATCCCCCGCTGTGGAGAGCTGCTGGGAGCTGCCTGGAGGGTGTTTGAGTCTTATCAGTCTGGCATCTCTGGTGTGGGGGAGCAGGTTGGCACCAGGAGCAGCTCAGCTCTGGGGCAGCTCTGTGCAGTGAATGCACAGCTCCAGTTCCAGCCAGGAGGACAAGGACCAGCAATTTGGGACCCTTCAGCCCTCTGTGTGCAGGTGCCAACCTAAACCCCTGAGAGGATGAGGTGTGAGGTCACCCTGGCCATGCTGGTGCTTCATCCCACCTTCTGTGCACTGCAGGTCAGGGTGGCCCTCCTGGAGAAGTCCTGAGAGGAGCTGTAGGTGCCACATGAGCAAATGTCAGGCCTTTATGGATCCAGCTCTCCTGCTATGGGCAGGGACACCTTCCAGTAGACCAGGCTGGTCTAAGCCCTATCCAACCTGGCCTTGAACACTTCCAGGGATAGGGATTTCATTTTTCCTTACTTAATATTGACATTTTCTAGATCACTCTGTTAAGAATGGATTTCTAGGAGCTATATCTCTTTGCCTCTCAATACTTTTCCTTAAAAATGTAGCTGCTGAATGGGGATTGAAAACTAATAGTATTTCAGTTGTTTCGGAAACTTTGCCCTTATCACACTGGGGTTTGCAGCAGTGCCTGTGCACAAAATCTTTGCCTGGAGGTGTAAGTCAATACCTCATTTATACTGCAGGAGAGGTCCAGCAAAGGAGTGAGCAGGGTCAATATGGGGACATCTACATAGTTGTGTGTTTCCATTGCTCGTGCCAGAAATTGAGGGGGAGTGGAGAAATACCATCATTTCCAGAAGCCCCAGAAGCTCCACCGAGGAGGCTGCTGGTACAAAATAAGATTTCTACCCCAAAAAGCTGGGATGGAATCGATGCACAGTACAATTTAGAGCCTCAGTTTGTAGGTTGTGATTTGCTTCCTGTTTGTCAAAACTGCTTGGGAGTCTTACAGAATATCACCTCCAGTCATGTGCAAAGGATCTTAAGCCACTCGTGCATTTTTCTCCTTTTTAAGATATACTGTCTGATCTACAGCTAGAAATGCATATTTGCTTTTCTTGAAAAGCAATTTTCAGCCTCCAGCTGGCTTTGTGGTCTTTTGAACAGGAAGAATATACACCTGAATGGAGAAAAGTGGTGGGGAATTGTTTTTCCACCTTGCAGTAATGTTTGCAATTTCAAAGCCATTTCCCCACTGTAAATGAGGGAAAAAAAACAAAATAAAAAATTAAATGCTGCCATGGGCCCTTGAAATAGTTCCTTCAGCTTCAACCCATCATCTAAACAAACAAGATGTCAAAATCATTTGGACTTCTTATTTTAAGGCAGGGCAAACCTTTTATTAAACAAAAAAAAAAAGCTGGAATTGTGCCAAACCAATTCCAGAAATAGTGAGAAATTAGCTGATCACAATTATTTTACAGGTTGCCTCAGCTTTGTCAAATTGTCACTTCCTCGAGGACAGTTTGTGACCAAGTTTACCCTGAAGGCTCTTTGGTTCCTGCTGTCCTTAATTCAGTGCAGGGCTTCATTCCAGCACTTGTCTGGTTAGAAGGGAACAAGGGTGTTTGTGCTCTGTGTCCCTCTCAGTTGTACTTTTCCTTGGACTCCTGGCACTGGTCAGTTCCCGTGGACTGATCCACAGGAGTTTGCCAAAAGTAGGGAAGTAAAATTAAGCTGTAGTCAGTAACTTCAGTTTGCTGTGAAGGGAGTTGGTGTCTGCATTGGAAAACTTTGAAGGCTCGTGTGAGCTTACATCATGTGTGCTGTGGGGCACCTCTGCACCCAGGACTGCAGCAGTGGGTTGGGCTGGAAGGGACCATGAAAGTCCATCCCATTCCATCCCCTGCCATGGGCAGGGACACCTTCCACTGTCCCAGGCTGCTCCAAGCCCTGTCCAGCCTGGCCTTGGACACTTCCAGTGATGGGGCAGCCACAGCTTCTCTGGGCAGCCTGTGTCTCACCACCCTCACAGGGAACAATTTCTTCCTAATAAATTCAAAATCCTTCCTTTCAATTCAAAATCTGCCCACTTTCAGTTTAAAGCCTTCCTCTTTGTCCTGTCCCTCCATGCCCCTGTCCAAAGTCACTCTCCATCTCTCTTGGAGCCCCTTTAGGCACTGGAAGGTGCTCCAAGCTCTCTCTTGAGCATTGTTTTCTCCAGTCAAACAGCCCCAGGATCCTCACTGTGGTACCCACAGAGCCTGTGAATAAAGAAAATAAACGCCTTTAGTGGTGTCTCTTGATACAGTGGAAATCACAGCTCATGGGAGGAAGCTGAGATAAAGGCAAGGTGGGTTTGATAGCTCTATATAAGGAGAAAAATCTTCTTTACTCTTGCTACTCCAGCTGCTTATGCAGCTCTGTCACTGCAGAGCTGTAACGGAAAAAGAGCCTGCATTAAAAACCCTGGGATAATTAACAGCCCCATCACTCACACCGCTGCCATTTGGAAGCTGCTTTTGCTTTTTCCATTAAGTTGGTGAATTTTGCCAAAGTGTTTTTCTTCAGTGTTTTGGCACCCGGCCCCACTCTCAGCTCTTGGTGTTGGCCATGTGAGGGGTCCAGGAGCAGGGCTGGGGCCAGCTGGATCCCACACTGTGCATTTGTCTCCTTTACAGCCTGAGAGTGTCACTGGAGTGAAATTACGTGCTGGATTTTCCCCCAAGACTTGTTCTCCTCATTGTGTCAATCAGCAGGGAGTTTGGTTTGTGAAGGTGCCCCTTAAAAAAACAAAAGTGGACTTCAGTGTGTTGTGAGCAGCAGTGGTTGTACAAAGTGATCCTCACCAGATCACAGGTGCTTAACACCTGGGACTGCTGCTGGTGATGACCCCCTTCCCTGTCCTCCTGTGTTCTCTTCAGGCAGTCAAGCTGGTGATCCCCAGCCAGGTCTTTGCTCCACGCACACGTGGAATTGTGCCCACATCTTAAACTCTGTTGGAGATGAGCACAGAAATTCAGGTTGCCTCATGAAGTGGATTTTAGCCTCTCTCATGCCAAAAAAAATACTGCCAGAGGTGGCCATGAAGAATCATCATCCTGTCCTGCTTCCCTTCCTCCACTCCCTGAAGATGCTGGGGCAGCAGCTCTCCTTGGGCTTGGCAGTGTCTTCATCCCAACAGCTGTGTCCCAAGTGTTGGAGCTGTCAGAAAAGAACCAGAACTCCCCAGCTGGAGATCTCTGGAGTGTGGTGAGGGTCCCCTGGTTAGGATGTGGCTGGATGTAGGACATGGCAAAAGAACACCAGGACTGGGCTATTCCTGGCTGTTCTATCATAAACTAAAGCAGTCCCAGAGCTTCTGAAATGTACAGCCCAGTGTCAGGGTGATGGAAACACCTAAGTAGGACATAGATTGTTTCAGCTCATTTCTTTCCCAGTTGATGTGGGACCACTCCAGTATTTTATCTCTTTAAGCCTTAAAATATTAGTTAGTGGCTGGATTCCTGGATGGATTTTTACATTCAAAGCCAGGTTTCCCCACTGATGTAAATCATTGTGGCTTTGTTTTAGATCTGGGAAAGGGTCTCCTGCACTGAGTGAGGATTGGCCAGGGTAATACATTGTCTCAGAGGATGATTTCTTGGGCTAGAGCTGAGGCTTGATGGCAGGAGAAGAGTGGTTTGATTCACGACTTGTGCATCAGATGTGGAGAGAGGAGCAAGCTGCACTTTGGCATGGCTTTGCACAGTCCAGTGCTCACACTGGCTGAAGTGAACAAACTGTCACTGAAGTGACAAACAGCCTGTGGATGTCCCACACTGCTGCCTCCTGGCTGAGGACTTTCTGTAGTTTACATTTCTGTCTATTCTTCCAGCAGCCTCTGCTGATGGAGCTGTTAAATATCCTCTCTAGAAGATGAGGGAATTCAATCTTCAAACTTTCCACTGACAGCTTTAAGTGAGCCTAACCAAGGAGTTTCCCATGTTCTTTAGTTGGCTACAAAACAAGGAAGATGACTGGGGAAAGGGGGGGTTTAGTTACCTTTCTGGTAAAAGTTTTTTTCTCCAAGCTGCTGTTTTTGATGGCACTTGAAGGCTTCAAGCTGAGCTAACAGAGAGGTTTGTCAGATTCCCTCTCAGGCATGGAAGGGTCTGCAAGAGCACTGGGTTGGAAGTCGGTGGATTTCCCTCTTTCTAAACTTTCCTGCCATACCAGGCTTGTGAGAAGGTTCTCAGTGACACAGGGTGCTGAGTGGTGAGAAGCTGCCCCCATCTTTGCACCTGGGTGTAAAATGAGGAACAGACCCGTGCAGGATTTTGCATGCTTAGGACATTGTTGAGCACACAGTAAAGCACGAGGACTCAGGGTGTGTTTGCTGAGGGCACTGAGTGTCAGCCCTTTTCCTACCCATGTCCCCAGAGCCCTGCACGTGCACTCCTGGCAGGGCTTTTAGGCCTCCCAGCTTTGAATGATTTCTCCATTCCCTTGCATTTCTGGTGGTCTGTCCTAGGTGGGCTGAGTGCCAGAGAGCAGCAGCAGCAGAGGCACTGATGGCCCAACAGTGATGGCCCTGCCTCTCAAAACTCTGGGCTGGCCCTTGTTCGAGGCTCCTAATACTATTGGGAAGCTTTTCCACTAAGTTCAGTGGGTTCTGGATGACTTTGAAGCAGAAAAATAAGGTCTCAGCCTGAATCTACTTCCTGGAGCCATGCTGGCACTGGCACTGCCTTTGCTGGACTTGGGATCAAGGAGAAGACCTTTAACAATGGAATTGGTTTTGTTACTGTTGTTGTAGAAATGCATTATTTTTTTTTTTCTTCTCTTCCATTTTTAATGGATTCTGCTTTCTCTGGACGATATTGTGTTTTACTTGGTTCCTGGGATTCACACAGGGAAATTCTGAAGGTAAACTACACTTTTTTTTTTTTTTCCCCTCTCCTCTTTCAACAAAAGTAAAAGCCAAATGATTTGGTACCAGTGTAGGATTATAACTTAACAATCAATGTCTGAGCCCAGTGCACAGTTAGATGCATTTATTGCTGATAGCTGCAGTACAGATGATATAGATGGTGCAGTTAAGTGCTGGCAAAAGAACCAGGTTTTGTACAGGTGATTACGTGTCCCACAGGATTTTCAGAGTGTTTTTGTCTGGTGAAACTGGTGGGAGTGAAGCACTTTGTGTCTAAAATCTACCTGCACTTGCATCTACCTGCACTTGCCAGGACTTAACTGCTCTTAGGAACTGCCCCTTGAGACTGGGGCTTTATGGAATTTAAATGTCTCTGGCAGATTTTTCCGTGACTTTGGTGCACCCCAGGCACGCCTCTGCCAGCACAGGGGATGTCACACATACAGAAATAATGTGAGTTCTAAAGGTAAAAGCAAATTTAAGGGAGGAAAATCCTACAGGGTTCTTGACAATAAAATGGCTGTAGCTGGTTCAGTCTCTGTGCTGTAAGGGAATATTCTATAGAGGAGTGACACCTTCAGCCTGTCCTCACACCTCCCTGGTGCTGCCAGGAACAGGACTAGGCTGAGGTACAATAATCAGTGACCCTACAAAAGGAGATTAAAACTAAAAAGCCAACAAAAACACCAAAAAATGTATTAATCTTCAACAGTTGATAGTGGGTGCTAAGCATCTCTGCAATATCTGTTTGAAAAGGAGCCTTCTCCTCTTAAAATAGCAACACCTTTCCCACATGGCTGCTTTACATGGGTATTTGCTGGACGTGAACAGCTTCCCCTGCTGTCAGCAGACAACACTAAGTGGACTAGCAGGCTCCAGGGCTCTCCTCTCAGTCTCTAAAACATGAAGGAAAAATAGAAATTTGGTCAACACTCAGCTGTCAGCCAGCCCATGGACCACTTTTTACAGAAGGGAGGGAATAGATCCCTGCCATCAGCAATTTTGAAAAATGTAATATTTTCCAAATTCTGCCTCCATGCAAAGGAGGTGAACATCTGGCTGAATTACTTAGTCAAGCAGTTTTCAGAGCAAGTTTTATGTCAGCTCGTAAAGAGGCAGAACAAATACTGTGTCTTGGCATCTTGCTTTTCAAGTAGATTATAATAGGCTGTTTAGATTCACCTCTATCCATCATTTTACTCCTAAGATAATTATGGGATGGGGCCGTGTCTTTTGTTACCATCAATCTAAAGCAAACCCTTTTATTTCACTCTCATTGTGTTTACCTTGGTGTAGTTGATAGCTCCCCTCTGAGATACTTTCTCTGTGATAAGAGAATTTTGAAAAAACTTGCCTGGTTTCCACACAATGAGAGAGATCATTTCCTTCTGGGTGCCAGGAAACAAAACCTTCCAGGGAAGTAAGGGCTGGAAGAAAACCTGGGTGACTTGAGGCTGTGTTATCACCCAGAATTTTCAAACATGAGCCTCTGAAGCAGTAAGAAGTTGTTCAAAGGGCAGTGTGAGGATGAAATTAAGCCCTTGAAAGCCAACAAAAACACCAAAAAATATATTAATCTTCAACAGTTGATAGTGGGTGCTAAGCATCTCTGCAATATCTGTTTGAAAAGGAGCCTTCTCCTCTTAAAATAGCAACACCTTTCCCACATGGCTGCTTTACATGGGTATTTGCTGGACGTGAACAGCTTCCCCTGCTGTCAGCAGACAACACTAAGTGGACTAGCAGGCTCCAGGGCTCTCCTCTCAGTCTCTAAAACATGAAGGAAAAATAGAAATTTGGTCAACACTCAGCTGTCAGCCAGCCCATGGACCACTTTTTACAGAAGGGAGGGAATAGATCCCTGCCATCAGCAATTTTGAAAAATGTAATATTTTCCAAATTCTGCCTCCATGCAAAGGAGGTGAACATCTGGCTGAATTACTTAGTCAAGCAGTTTTCAGAGCAAGTTTTATGTCAGCTCGTAAAGAGGCAGAACAAATACTGTGTCTTGGCATCTTGCTTTTCAAGTAGATTATAATAGGCTGTTTAGATTCACCTCTATCCATCATTTTACTCCTAAGATAATTATGGGATGGGGCTGTGTCTTTTGTTACCATCAATCTAAAGCAAACCCTTTTATTTCACTCTCATTGTGTTTACCTTGGTGTAGTTGATAGCTCCCCTCTGAGATACTTTCTCTGTGATAAGAGAATTTTGAAAAAACTTGCCTGGTTTCCACACAATGAGAGAGATCATTTCCTTCTGGGTGCCAGGAAACAAAACCTTCCAGGGAAGTAAGGGCTGGAAGAAAACCTGGGTGACTTGAGGCTGTGTTATCACCCAGAATTTTCAAACATGAGCCTCTGAAGCAGTAAGAAGTTGTTCAAAGGGCAGTGTGAGGATGAAATTAAGCCAGTGCTGTGGGATTTTGAAAATGCTCTGGCTGTTACTCTAAGGATTAGGAGTCTTCCTGTATGCTGGAAAATCAGGGAACACAGAGGATGATCTTTCCATGAGTGTTACAAATCCAAAAGATTGTGAGGTGAGTTCATTTGCTGTGTGCTGACTAAGGGTCTGGGCAGTAACTTTTGGAACTGCTGCACTTATTCAACCCAGTTTTAGCTGTGGGCATCACATCTTGGCTGTTGGAATCTGGGAAGCTGCAAGTTATTCCTCTCCTGCCTTTTGGGTTCTTTTTCTTATACAGCTTTTTGTATGGTGAAAGGGGGAGGGAAAGAAAGAGAGGGGAAGAACAATAAAATATTTTTTCCCCTTTTTCAGAGATGATCATGGGGTTGTTCAGGAATCTCTGTGTATCTCACTTCATGCACAGAGTCTGATAGAAGTGTTTTTTCCCAATTGCTCGAATGTTGCTACAGGAATGTGGCTACTAGCTTTGAGGCACCTGGGATCAGGCAGCTCTAAGTGAATGTTCTTTTTAAATAATGTGTTTTGATGGAAAAATCCACAGAGGAAAAAGTTTGAAGGGGAAAAAAATCCTCTGCTAAACTTGGAGCTGCTTCAGGAAGTCAGAATTACCTTGCATTTCACATTAGTTGATGACATCCCGTATCCCAGGAGATGTGACCCAACAGCCCAGACGTTTGGATGGGATGGAGAGGAGAGGAGATGGGCTGGGTGCACAGGAGCCCTGAGCTCTGTGCCTGGACCTGGTGCTGGAAAGTTCACATGTGTGTCCTGCAGGAGGATGCTTTAATGGGATTTTGCGTGGGCACCCAGAGTTTGGCTCCACCTTAGCGGGTTCTGAGGGAGAGGAGTGTTTGGGCTGTGCTTTTTTCCCTTAAGCACTCCTGGATGCCGTTGCTAACGAGGCACTGGGATTGCAAACAGCAGCAGCATCCTCTGAGCACGGAAACATCCTTAGGTCTTTGCAGAGCAGCTACCAAATAAATAACTCCTAGAGCGTGCAGCATCTCTAGCAGAGACAGCCCCTGTCTGCCTCTGAGGGAGAACCTAAAAATACATGTAGAAATTGGAAGCTGGAGACTAGCTGCTTGCTTAAGTGGTAAATTTATTTTCTTAGGGATAAATCCTGATGCCTTTGAAGTCTGTGGCAAAGGTCCCACTTCTCTTCACTAAAGCCAGGCTTTGGCCTTTGCTTTTTCATGGGCTCTGGAGATCATCCAGAATGAAGACACTGCCATGATTCCTCTGCTCAGTGCAGAGAGGGGAAGGCTACTGGGAGACAGATCTGTTGGACAATATGGAATAAAACCAGTGGGGGACCAAGGATCTCAGAGAATGGGAGAAATGCTGTCATTAACACTTGAACATGCTGTGCAGTAAATTACCCCTCTGCACAGAGTGGGAATGTTTCCATCCTTTTCTACATCTGACGCACCTTCTCCAGGGTAGTGTCTGCTAGAAAATGAGTCAAGCTGCTTTAAAAAAGGAAGGTGAGAATAAAGCTAAACTCAGGCAAAGTAAATACTGATTGACTCGTTCCTAATATACAAAAATGGCCGAGGTTTTTGCCAAAGTCAAGGAACAGAGGTTTTCTCATCATTCTCCTCCCTTCTTGGCCAGCAGCATTACAGGTCTCAGACTGCTTGAGTCTACAACCCTTCTGGCCAACACCAAGGGGCTCTTTATGTGCCAGTTCTCCGAATATTGTGTTCTGTGCAGAACATTTCATAGTTAAGGGTGAAAGCAACTGAATACCAAGGCCCCTTTAGAAAACGAGGTAGTTTTTTTGTTTTTTTTCCTTTGGAGGACTGTTGCATGGTGTTAGCCATGATTGGCACCACCACCTTTCTGAGTGTTAAGTTCTTGCCTTGCAACATTAGCATTTGGGTTGTACAACCCTGACTGGCTTCCCCAAAGAGCACTGAGATGGGAGAGTTGGCTGGTCCAGGAGTGATGGGGATGGCATTTGGGCAGGAAGAGGGGAGGAAGTGCAGTTATCCTAGCTCACTGTCACCAGTGCTAGTGTCACAGGAATCACGAACACCTTAACAGGGTCATTTGGGTTGGAAAACCCTTACAATCCTCAAATCCAGCTGTTAACCCAGGGCTGCCAAGCCCACCACTAAACCATTAGATGTCCCCAAGTGCCACATCTGATGTATTTTGAACATTTCCATGGATGGTGACTCCACCACTTACTTCACTGGGCAGCTCTTTCCAATGCCTTACAAACCTTTTGGTAAAGAAGCCTTTCCTACTATTCATTCTAGCACCACCTTCCCCACACCCCCAGCACAACTCGAGGGCTTTTCCTCTCATCCTATGACTAGTTACCTGGGAGCAGAACCTGACTACAACCTCCTGTCAGGGAGTTGCAGAGAGTGAGAAGCTCTTCCCTGAGCCTCCTTTTCCTCTAGGCTGAGCTCCTTTAGCTGCTCAACGCAGGATCTTTTTCAGGTCTGGGCACATTTACCTTTGCAGCTTTGCTCACGTAGACCTCGGCATCTTCTAAATAATTCAGCTGAGGCTGCTGCCAGCTGGCCCCAGTTTGTGTTGCTGTTGCCTGCTAGTCTGAGCTGTGAATGACTGCTGATAGACCTCGGGGGCAGAAGGCAGGGGGTTCTGCTTGTCTGTCCATTGCAAATTCTTCCTGGGGTTGGGGGAGAAAGGTTCTCTGGGCATCAGTCCCTCTCCTGCTGGCTTGAGCCAGGCACCTGGCTCCTAGGTGACATTATACAGGAGGCAAATCTCACCTCCACTACTCAGTGGCAGCCATAACCAATTTCTGAGTTCTTTACAAACCAAGTCTGGTTCCAACCTATTAAAATAATTCATTGCTGTAAGATGATCTGCTGGGAAAAAAAAAATACTGTTGAGAACCTTGAGCAGTTCACTAAAATCTAGGTGTAATTTTTTTCATGCTGGGAGGCACCTGTGCTTCCCTAAACTCTCCAAAGATCAAAAGCTGCTGCTTGCTAGCTTGGGGAGAGACAGATACCAGGCTTTTGCTTCCTCTGGAAGTTTTGTTACTTGCCCTCTGGGGATACAAAATTTTGCAATCCCAGCTCAATCTGTTGTTTAAATTCCTTTCCAGCTATGTGGTCAGTACTCGGAATTAAATGCCAGAAATAGGACTAGGGGTGTTCAGTGGGAAATTTCCTTGTAGTGAGGTCAGCTCCCTCCAGAACATGTGAGCTGGTCCCTGGTGGGACAGGAGAACTCACCAGATGCACCACGGAGCTGATGCATTTTGGCAATTGCTGGTAATCACGTTGAGCATGCACTTGCTCCTCACACAATGTGAGAAGAGCTGTGAGTTCTCCGTGCTGGTTATGGGAATATATATGTGAGAGGGTGGGATTGGATTACAAATTGGGATTTCCTGTAGCCTGTTGGCTTTGTGCATGGATTGTTTTGACCTCTCTGCACACCCATCCAGCCCTTGGGCCGCCCAGCACCTCACATAATCTTTGTGCTTCCCTTTCAGATGTGGATGTTCTTCAAAGACTGGGCCTGTCAGGGAAAAGGCCATCGAGTGGATGGTCCTCCTCACGTACAGTTCCTCAAGGAGTCATTCCTTTCAAATCAGGGGTCATCTTCACTCAGCGAGCCCGTGTGGAGGCACCGCTCAGCGCCCTCCTCCCCGCGGGCTCCAGCTCTGACCTGCTCCTGGTGCTGAGCCTCTGCTCCCACCGCATCAACAACGCTTTTCTCTTTGCTGTCAGGAGCAAAAAGAAAAAACTGCAGCTGGGGGTCCAGTTTGTGCCTGGGAAGATCATCGTGTACGTGGGCCACAAGCGCTCTGTATATTTTGATTACAATGTCCACGATGGCCAGTGGCACAATATGGCCATCAACATTCGTGGCCAGACAGTCACTTTATTTACTTCTTGTGGGAAGCGCAGAGTACATGCGGATTTGCATTTTAAAAAGGACGAGGCGTTGGATCCACACGGATCTTTCCTCTTTGGGAAGATAAGCCAGCACTCCGTGCAGTTCGAAGGAGCCATCTGCCAGTTTGATATTTATCCTTCCGCCAAGGCAGCTCATCATTACTGTAAATACCTGAAAAAACAGTGCAGGCAAGCAGATACCTACCGGCCAAACCTGCCCCCTCTCATCCCCCTCCTGCCCAGGGATCCCAGTGCCTCTCCCAGTACCCCACAGCGTACGGAGCCCTCGCTGCAGGGTCTGAAAAACCTGACCACTGCTGCCCCAAACTTGGAGTTTGGCAGGGTCACTGCACCCCTCAAGACGAGGGGTTCAGGTACAACAACTCCCACATTGCTGTCAACCCCACCATCACGGCCGAGACTGACTACCAAAGCCACCAAGGTCACAGTGGCCCCAGCTGTTCTGTCAAGTACTAAATCACAGGTACCCACCCAGTCCCCTCGGGGCGTGGGGACAACCCTCAGGGTGTCTCAGCCCACTCCCAGCGCGCGCAGGGAGAAAACTCCCCTTCCCACTGCTAAAAGGGCCCCACCAACGAGCCAGAGCCCGGTCACGGCCAGCAGGAAGGAGTCAGAGCAAGAGACCAAAAAGAAGATCAACCAAAAACCAACCATTGAGCCCCCTGAAGCGCTCAGTACTGTAAAGCCACTGAGGAGGGTGACTGACAACACAACGAGCAATGTCCACCTTGTCACCCTAAAGCCAACCCTGCAGAACCCAAGCCGTGGGCCCATCCCAAAGAAGCCGTCCCCCACCAGGAGAGTGGATCCCAGCATCATCCCTCTGGTGTACACCAAGCCACCCCTGGGGTCTGCCCGGCCCAGCTCCAGAGCCAGGGCCTTCAACCTCACAACCCCGGCTGCCACAGATGGCTATCAAATCTTTGACCCCTTGGGACCCACTCCGTTTCCATTTTTACTGGGATTTCCAGGAGTGAAAGGAGAGAGAGGACCTCAGGTATGTTCAGGCTCTTCATGGTGGCTATTCCCAGTCACAGTTTGGCTCAAGGGCTTGCAGACCACAAGCTCCAAGGGTTTCTGGGAAGCTCATCCAAGTGTGGCAGCCGAGCCCTGCTGCATTCCTGATCATCACAATTTTAACATAAATCTCAGTTTGAACCTGAGTGTTCAGTGATGGTGGATGCCATGAAACATTTGTGGTTAAAGTCGCTGCTTAACATCAGATTTCTAAAAAGAAAGGGAAAAAAAAAAGATAAATCCCACCTTCTTTTCCTTTAAATTGCTGGCTAAAATTTGAGTGACCAGGTTGGTGCTACCTTCCACACCCTTGGTTTATCTCTGGTCATCTTCCATAGAAAACCCAGATGCCTTAAAAACATGCCTCAAGTTAACTATTTCTTGGCACTTTTTATTAATTTGTTTTGTATCTGATATTCACAAATCTAGAAAAGTGCCCTGTTCCAGCAAATGCAAGTGCAGAGGCTTCAGGATTTATTTTTTTAAACAAAGTTTCATCTGTTTTTATGGTATAAGTTTTTCTTGGGTGTTTTGTTCTGTTTTTTATTTCTCATAGCCTCCACTTAAAACATGCAAAAAGTTTCCTTTATAAATTTAACTACTGCATTCCACATAAAAAATAACCCTTTTCAGGTTGTATATATTGGCCATTGTAAAAGCATACACACGTTTTGTAATGCTAAAAGCACTCAGGCCCCACTAATTATTTGCTGGCTGTTCTTCCTTTTTTTTCCAAATTTGAGAATGCAAACATGATCTTTAAACTGGCCAACTTTTAGGGGGATTTGGTGTTCCAACCCAAACTGTCAATAGGAGAGAGGGGTTGTACATGTAAAATAAGTTTCTGTCAGACAGAGCCTTTGGTTGCCAAGATCCAGCCTAGAGGGAATTTTTATAGCTGACTTCTTAAAATAGTGAAAGAAGAGTTTACAATGGAAATATTGAGGCTGGTGTAAGGGATGACCAGCACTTGTCTCTGCAAAGCTGCTCCTTGGTGCAAGTGACACCTCAAGTGGAATGGTTGGGTCTCCCCAAGTCCTCAAAGGGAGATTAGCAGTTTGTGTTTCCTCCTGTTCCATCTCAAAGCTGGGTGGTGATTTCTCTCCCTGTTCTTTGGGTATGGAGTCACCCAGGGTGATGTTTTGTTCCCAGGTTCCTGCCCCTGGGAGAGGTGAAGTTGTTCCTGGGCAGGGGTTGAGTGTGGGCTACAGGCACCCATCCCTGCTGGAGTCTTGCTGCTTGGAGAAGTTTTGCTAAATCCCTCAGTAGACAGAACAAGCTCCAGCAATTTGATCTTTGGGCAGGCTTCTGTGTTTGGTGGAGAATCATTTCAGGCGTATTTCCAAGAGAAGAAATCCAGCAGTTGTGTATTTCCCTTAAAACATCACTTAGCTTTAAGGGGTGAATCTGGATGCCCGCTCCAAGCCCACCAAAATCCCGACCTCTGCCACCTTCTTGCTCTTCAAGTGTCATGAGGGTGACCAAGCTCTAAGCCCCTGCAATGTAAAGAGCTTATTATTGAACTGGAGTGGAAAATCTCTCTCAGGCTTGTGAATCATAGCAAAGAAATGGATTCAGGCTGTGGAGGGCTGAGGGAAGGGATGGCAGGATTTTTCCATCCTGTCTGAGAACAACTGGAGTCCTGAACCGAGGGAAAGGAGAACTTTCTGAGGCTCTGTCTGGCCTTATTCTCTTTGACTGCTGGAAACAAAATCAGGGCTTGGGGAGGGAAAGGTTATGGCTTGGCTGGAGCTGGCTGCCACACGGTGCTCAACAGCTCCTGTGACTCACTCGGAGATCTCTGTACCACGCTTCCTTGGATGTCTCTGACGTGGGAAGGGAAAGAGGAAAAAAGATCGGAATGGGGATGACATGTTGAGAAATTAATGCAGCACGTCCATGGCCAGATGAGCATGTTTGAGAGCAAAGTGCTGATAAATGTTCTGTGCCTGAGTAATTACCTGGCGCCATCCTCGTGCTGCCGGGCCGGCGCTCCTGATGAGGTCAGTGATATCCCAGCCTGGCCAGGGCAGGTCGTGGGCTGGGAATGTCATCTGCTGTCTGGCACACCGAGGGAAGGATAAGGTGATTAATTAGTTTTCCCAATTGCTGCCTGATACAAGGTCTCTTCAAGACGATTGTCACCCTGAGGAGGGAGGTGTCGGGGGGGAACTGCCTTCTGCCTGTTCAGCAAGGATTGGGGCCACCTTGGCTGTGATTTCTGGGCAGACTGGCAGCCACAGAACCCTTCCACCTAGGCAGAAAGGACTGTTATTCGTCCTGATCATCCCAGTAGCAGTGATGACTCAGGCTGTGTGGTGTCTGCACTTGAGGTTTTGTGAATTCTACTGAAATAACCAATGAAGTATTCTTAGCTGTGCTAGACCCCAGCCATGCCAGGGAAGGGGTTTAGCACAGCTTCACCTGGCAGAAATCCCCCATCCAACAACAGAGGAAGGGTTTGATGGTTAGAAGAGTGTGAGCAAAGGAATTAAAGGATTTATTTAGGAATAAAATTCAGCACCCTCCATGTATTAATCTGTCCTGAAGGACCACTAGGGTGCTGTGCAAAAGGAAACGGAGATGCTGCATCCCACATGCAACTCAGGCAGAGCATTCATTCTTCAGGAGCGTTGGGTTTGCTGAGCAGCTAGAGGAGGGAGGGCAATATGTTCTTAAAAAAGAAAAACTTCTTGGGAACCATTAATAACCACAAGCATTTGGGATCTCAGCTCTATGGGTTTTTTGGAGGGGAGAAATAACAAAAGGAACACCCAGCTATCGTGCGAAGTTAGTAACCCAGCACTGACTCAGCAGCTGGCAAAAGTCCCTCTGGATCATCCCCTCTGCCCAAAGCATCTCAGCCAGCCTTGCTCCAGAGCTCCAGGCCCTGCAGCATGACCCCAGCACGTGGCTGGAAGTAGCCTAAAACCCCCCTCAAAAGAAAAAATCATACTGAAAAATAGTATCTGTTGTAAGCATGTCAAAGTCTTGAACTAAGGCTGTGATGTGGTGGGTGTTTGGATCCTCCAGTGGATGGGGTGTCATTTGCTTGTCTAGACCAGCAGCAGGTTTGGCAGGGAGATTCTGGGGGCTACTGTAGCTTCTCCCCTGCCCACCAGCACCACCTGCCAGGTGAAGCTGTGCTAAACCCCTTCCCTGGCATGGCTGGGGTCCAGCACAGTGTACCCTAAGTCAGGCCCTTCTCCTCCTATATAAAGCTGCAATTCCACCCCTACAGCCAAGCCTCTTGACAAGCCTAAGGGTTATTTTTAGAGCAAGAAAACCACCCCTAATGCTGAATGTACAGGCTGGGATCACTGAGAGGCTGTGGAAGCGCTGAGTAACAGGAGAGGAACAGGGAGTGTGTTTCAGGACACCCCAATATCCCGGTCAGGGGACGGGGGGCTCACACCAGCCCCAGCTGCATGGCCAGGAGCCCCAGGCTGGAGGCAGTGGTGGTGCCTGGCAGGCAGCTCCCTCTCCCTCCCTCTCTGTCTCCCTCTCTGCAAGGCACATGTGTTTCCAAGGTCCCCAGTCTAGACTGCTCCAGCTGCCATCCTCTGCACGAGCAGTTTGTCTTGGAGCCCAGCTCCTTCCCTAAAGAAACAATCCCAGCCAATTCAATCAGTGGGCAGGGGAGAGAGGTGACTGGAAACACTGATAAAATATATGAAGTGCCTATTTCCAGTCCTCCTCACACCAGAAAAGGCTATTTGAGCTGCCAGCCCATGATAAATTAAGGAACACACAACGTGTGTGAATATCTATTAATGAATGAGTCATAGTAATAATAAAAAAAGAGACTGCATGCTTTGTATAATGCATGGGGAAAGTTTTATCCTTGCTCACATAATTGGATCAAATTTTTTTTGGTGATTTAACTGGAAATATCCCTGAAGGGAAATCTTGCAGGCAAATGACCAAGCATCAGAGAAGTCTGTTTGTGTAAAATAAAGTTAATTTTGAAGAGAGATAGTTGATAGTGTGTTTGAGATAAATGTGCTGCAAAGGATCTAGGATTGTACAAGTATATACAAGTATTTTTATAAATTTTTAAAAATAGAAAGTGAGTAGTAGAGTAGGTGATCCCTCTATTCCTTCCCAGCCTTTCAGGCTCCCTTCCAAGGTCTGGGATCGTTCCAGTGCCCTGCAGAGCCTGTTCCTGAAATGTCTCCGTAGAAAAGTGCCTTTCATCAAGCTGGAACACTCATATTTTGTTGTGCATTGTGCTGCCACTCTGTGAGGAGCCCAGTTGTGGACAAGGACCTTTGTGTGATAGGTGTTGCACAGACCCAGAGCAAACATCTGTGCCTGGTGAGGAAATCGTGTTACGAGGCTGGCTCTGCACCAGCAGCTCAGCTCCTGCCAGAATTATGAGGGCTTTTTGTTTTTAGACTGGTTGAAACCCAGACGTGTCCAAATTTTAATACGATAAGCCTGCCTTGGAGAAGAAAGTAACCAAAGTGTTGGGAGTTTTTCCCCCTGAAATTCTAGCTTTGTTTTAGGCAGTTTTTGAAGCCGTGCAGTGCCTGGCAATGACAGGCAGGTGAGGAGAGGTTGCCAGGCTGTTGAAGATGAGGGTTTTTCTCTTCTATTCTCCTAAGCAGGGAATTTTGAATTCCAGTGCTGTCTGTGTAGCTGCCCAGTCCTTCCTTGCTGGTGCTTCCCAGACATACAAGGCTAAAGGGTAGGTTTGTGGCAGTGGCCATCTTTCCTGTAGGAATATTTCTTTTCCTCTTGGAAGAAAACAGTTCAGGTCCTTTATCTGCAGGGGGAACGTCACTCCCTTCTGGTGCCAATGTGGGGAGAAGCTTTTGTGTATTTCCTGAACTCCTTTTTAAGTTGGCTTTTAGTACAGGCATTAACACCTGAGAAAGAGGAATGTTCTCTCTTCTCTCCTCAGTCCTAGAAGTGTTTTGCACTTCTGAAGCAGACTTTTCTGGGACACAGGAGAACCGTGCCACTAGTGGCTGGACAGAAATACATTGGGAATACCCTAAAGTAAATATGTCCATCTGTCAGTGTGCACTGGAATATGAGCTTAATAATTTCCTGGGAAATCTCAGCTCTTTGCTGCCAGGCTGAGTACTCACCCCTGGGGAAACAATTACAGGAATCCTTTGCTATCTGACCAAGTTGATTCAGCAGTCATTTCCCAATTTCCAGCACCAGTTCTTGTACTCAGTGTGCTTTAATTCAACAGCAGGTTTGGCCTTGCTGAGTTTGGAGCTCAGAAGGCACCTTGCTCCCTGCAGCACTGCTGTGGGCAGAGGAAGCAGTGAAGGGGGGTCACAGTGTGGGAGAGGCAGAGATATAAATTAGCAGCAAGAGGAAATAGCAGGATTTCCCTTATCCTCAGGGTCCGATGTATTTTCCTTTCAGACAAGTATGTTTAATTTTCCATTTGCAATTTGAAGCTCAGAGAGCTAAGATTAAAAAAAGTTGCTTTTGCACCAGCAAGTTTCCCAGCAGCAGCTTAGAATAAATCCTATAATCATTTGGTGGGGTCGGTCGTCATTGCTAATGCTACCGTGGGAAACTGAGAAGGGTTAAACTTTATTGTGGCTGCCCTGAGCTGCTTCAGGAGCTGTTCAGGCTGGTTAACAGCTCAGCTGTTTGGCTTGAGAAGAGAGAGTATCTGCTGCTGCTGAGTTTCTCCTTGATCTCTGATCTTGCTTTGTGTGATAACAGGGTGGGTGTTCTCTGCCATCAGTTTGCAGAAGGAGCAGGCAAGGAGCCAGAGAGACAAGAGCTGCAGTGCCAGGAGCAGGAGCTCACCACAGGAGGCTTCATCCCTGTGATGGGAGGGCAGGGGCAGAGCACTGATATCCTCATCCCACTGCCAGCAGCAGGAAATCCTCCTGCCCCTGGAGCACTGCCCTCTGCTCCTGAGGAAATCCCCAGGAGTGTCCTAAAGGAACAGTGGAGATGTCCCCACAGGCTCTGTGTGATCTGAGCTGGGGGTGAGGGGAGGCTGTGTGTGCAGGCTCTGGCACCTCGCTGACAGACATCTCCTGCTCCCCCTGTGCAGCCCTGCACCTGAAGGGGACTGCATCCATCATTTGTGAGAGGCTGGGCCCTGATCCAGCCCATTCTCCTCTGGCTGCCTCTCCGGATGCACACTTTCCTTGAGTGAATTTCAGCACTGCTCTCTCCAGGCAAAGCCAGGTGGGATGTGGGGCTCTTGTCCCAGAGCTTGAGCCTTTTGTCTGAAAGCATGGGCTGGGTGATAGAGAGGCAGAGGGGAAAGGAGTCACTAGGAGGGCACAGCCCATGTCCCATCCAACCCTGACACCAAGGAACAGAGAAATGTGACAGGTACAAAGTGGCCTCACAGGGTGTCACTTCTCACCACTGCCTGTGCCCATCCCCTGCCCCAGTCCTCTTCCACCTTCACTGGCTTCAATTTAAAAGTGGTCACTTCCTTACCTTCTGCAGTTACTGTAGTGGCTGACACCTTTGAGCCACTCATCCCACCTTCACCTTATCCCTCTTACTCCTCAAGAAAGGAAAAAATGAGTCTGAAGGGATGACAGATCAAAGTGCCATGGCAGGGACTTTGAATTGTGTACTGCTCTGTGCTTTTCCAGCTAGAAGCCTTTCTCTCAACTCTGTATTCCCACTCCAGTGCTGGTATTAACTCTCTCCTTATTTTTGTGTTAGCTTCAGTCTGTTCTGAGCAGACTCCACATTTTTGAAGGTTTTTGCTCAAGCAGCCAAGTCCAATTGCAGCTGCTGTTAGCAGGAAGGTGGAAAAGGTCACCTCAATTCTGGTACTTGGGGAATGCTGTGCTCAGACAATTGCATCTCCTCTTTCACCTCCTCTAAGGGTGTAAATGAGGATGGGTTTTGGTGGAGGAGAGATTAAGGACTTTGATTAATCTCTGATAAACTCTTATTAAAACTGTTGCTGCCTGAGTTGCACTGGATTTGTGGTTTGATGGTTATCATCCCAACTAAAAGGGCAGGGGGATATTTTTAATAAAAGCTGAGATTCTGAAGCACAATTATACATGAAGCTTAAAAAAACCCCTACAATTACATGTCTATTTGCACAGCTGTATAATTGCATTATGCACGGGGCCCTGAGCTGGCACAATGGCAGGTTAAAACACTGGGATATTGCTAAAATGAGGGTCAGCTGTATCAATGAGGGTTGTTAATACAAAGAGCAGTAATACTGTGTTGGCCAGCAGCAAGCAGCTGGCAGAGGGGTCAGATGAAGTGTCCCATGCTGTGGAGACTGGGCATGTCCAGGGCTGGGCAGCAGCAGTGGGGCATATGGTGACAGAAGTCCATCCTGTGTGTCACATTACCTGTTCTGTGCTGTGTAGGCTCCTTTAGAACAAGCCTTTTCTTGTTTTCTTCACTACAGAGATAAAAAGTTACTATTTATTTGTTGTGCTGATAAATTAATAGCACAGAGGACACTGGGCTTTGCTTATGCCTTCCTGGTTTTTTTCTCCTGTGCCAAGTTTGGCTCTTAAAATAGATAGACAAGGCTTTAGATAATAGACTTTTATCCAACTTAATGTGCTGTTTGCATATGGGAGTGTTGGTAATATCAGGGGAATAATTATCCATCTGTTACCTGTATGGTTCAGGCAAGTTTTCTCTTTCCAAGATCTTTTCCTGGGCATGAGATTTAGGGTAGGGATCTCCTGGGTCAATTTTTTTCTTACTGAATCATGTCCTTGATGACTCCTGGGAGCTGCACTTGAGATCTTGAGCTTTTTTGCTCCTGCTCATGGGCAGCACCAGCCTGAGCAGCTCTCAGCAGCATGGCCAGCCTGGCATGGAGATCCCACAGGAATGGCCCAGTGGGAAGGCAGCAAGGCCAGAATGTGGCCATGGGGCCCATCCTGCACCTGCTCCAGGCACTGCACCTTCATCCCTGTGCAGTGCTGCTCCTGGGACTGCCATGCAGCAGAGAGCTCAGGCTGCCTTCCAAACACCCTTCAGTGGCTGCTCTGCATGTGTCTCCACTGACTGCAATGGAAACTTGTCTTTTGTAGCAAGCTTCCAGAATACAAATCCTCTGGGAAACGCTTTAATTAGCAGCTATTCTTGTCAGACATGTCTGGCTTGGGGGAAAAGAAGTTTTGAGGAGTTACTAGGAGTTGCAGATGGCTCTTCAGAAATCTGAATTCTCCAGCCCATTGAAAGAAAAATAATAAATAGTTGAACAAATTCAAAGGAGTTCAAACCTCGTTGGTTAAGTATTTTTTCCTAACCTGTTTCAGATCAGTGCACAGCTGGGCTCCTGATATCTCCACTTTGTTCCTCCCCTCTTACAAGAGCCCCCACTACTCTGACGTGTATGACCCGACCTTTCCTTTGCTACAGAACTGTATTTAAGAATTTCCAACATTGACACCAATTTTATTACATTTTATAACCTGCTGCTCTGAAATATGAAGTGCTGGGGTTACACATAATCACAGATTATGTTGTAACTCATGTAGGGACCTACGACACCAAGAGCTGCACGTGTCCAGCTGATAGAGATTAGAACACACAATGTGCTTCCCTTGCCAAGGTGCTAACACAGGGCAGGAAAACCCAAAGCTGGGACACAGTTGTGTTACCCCTGTGACACAGCACAGCTCCAGGAGAGGGGAAGCAGCTGTGATCCTGGGAATGCAGGCTGCAGCAGAAAGATGGGCATGCTCTGTCTCTGCTCTATGGAAATACATGCTCCTGCAGTTTTTGTGTGTGGCTTTTTATCCCTTTATAGCAATAGCATAAGTTGAAGGGAAGTTTTGGCTGTGATGCTGTAATTGGCCCTTCTCCCCAGGTCTTCTCCAAATTACTGTGTTGTGGGTCTCTGTGAAGCACTGTCAGGAGCACCATTCTGTAACAGAACCATCACTAATACCTTTTTTTGTTTTTCTAGGGCCCACCGGGTCTGCCAGGCTTACCAGGACCCCCTGGCAAGAGAGGTTCTCGAGTAAGTTCTTTAAAGACTTCCTTCCATTTGTATTTGAATCTGCCTGTCCTGTTGTAGGGCTGCTGTAGTTCTTCTGGCTGTGTAATGATTTCTTCAGGACCCTCTCTGTTGAGCTCTGGTCTCCTCTCTCATTCCTTGTTGGAGATTTTCACACTGGTGATTTGCAGCCTCCCTGAGCTAAGGTTTGGCATCAGCAAAGGCTGGGGATGGATGTTTCCAAAAGGCTGTCAGAAGAATGAGATCTGTCTGTCTCATTTTGTTTCCAGTTTCTGTTCCTTCTTGCAAGCCCACTGCTGAATATTAGCTTTGGCTGCTTTTTGCACTCCCCTTCACTCTCCCCAGCTTCACGAATTGTTTAATTCAAGGTTCTTCATTAGGGGGACCAAGGTCCAGGACCAAGGACTCAGCACACACAGAGATGAGGTTTTTTTGTTCCCCAGACTGAGACCTGCTCTCTGACTCCTTTTCAAGCCCTAAAGCAGAATGCCTTATCTGTTCAGGAATTCGCAATGGCTCTCGCAGAATTTCTTCCTCCCCAAATGAAATTCTGATGCAGATCTTTGAACATTGAGTGCTGTGCTGAGGAAACATCTGGAGCTGAGTGCTGCAGCTAGCTGTGAGAAAAGCCTTCTGCGCTGGCCCAGCTCTCCCAGGGCTGGGCAGTGTGCCTGACCTGGATGCAGTGAATGCTGGCACTGCTCTCCTGGCAGCACAGGGCTCTTTTCCTGGGAGCACAGTGCTGTCCCACAGGCTACAGCCATGCAGCCCCTTTCCTCAGCACTGCTGTGGGCTGGGAATCCAAAGGTGTGAGTGTCTGAGGCTGGAGGAAGGGAATATTTGGATCTGTGATCCTGGCCTGGCAGCAGAGGGAGATTTCCTCACACATACTTGGCTAAACCTCAACCCCCGTGTAATGTCTTTAAAGAGCGAGCAAGAGGCTGAGAGCTGGGAGGCTCGGCATTCCCCCAGGACACTTGTTACACTCCTGTGAGATCTCACAGTAACCAGAAAAACAAACTCATCTCCTTTCTCCAGCAGCAAAATGCAGGTCTGCAGGACCCCTGGAGCCTGGGCCTGTGTGAATCAAAAGCTGATTTGGGCTGTAAGTGAGCAGGGTTAGGCAGCACCAGGCTCGTGTTTATGGATGGGACAATCTGTTCCACGTTAGAGAAGTTTCTTAGTGAAGCATCAGCCCTGATACCTTCTGTCACAAGTGCCCAAGCAGCTCCCACATCAGTAGATCGCCCAGAGTTTGCATTTCTTGGCACCCCGTTAAAGCTGGAAGTTGGTTCCTACCCCAGCTCACTGCTTATGAGGGGTGTTTGCTGTTACTTCTGGCAATCCTGTGGTTTGCAAACTAAACTCCAGGTCTGGAGCCCCCAGCTGCATCCCCTGCACATATGCTGTATGTGACCAAATTTCAGCTCCATATCCCAATTCCACTTGAGTTTCTTCTGAAGGAAATAGCATCATGGAAGCTGTGTCATAACTGTCTGTTATTCCCCAGCTGTGGCGTGCTCCATCCCATATTTAAGGTGATCCTCTGAAAGACAATAAGCTACAGAGGGTTTCTGAGCTCAGTCCCTGCCAGAGGTGCTGAGAATTGGTCCAGGAAAGAGTTCCCAGTTAGGAAGTGCTCAGCACAGCTGAGCCTGGCTTGGCTCAGGCCTCTGCAGAGAGGCTGTGCTAATTTTGGGAGGGGGCAGAAGGGTCACTCTATGAATGTCTGGCCCGGAGCACTGGAGACAGGACTGCTCTGTGCCTGAGTTGTTTTGACTTTGGGAAGTGTTTCTCCTGGTAATTTTTTCTTGTATCTCTTTGGGATTTAGGGATTTCATTGGAAAGTGAAGCTGCCAGGAACTAAGACAGGCTTAGGGGAATTCTTGCATCTTTGGCTTTTGTTGTGCACGAAAAACTTAAAAATAAACGTGCAACATTGCAGGGGTCATGTTCTACCTCTCCTAATCTGATCCTCCAAAAAAGCAACTGCAGAGTTCTTGCACCAGCCCATGAGGTGTCCCATCAGGCTGCAGCCCAAGTTTGGAGCTCCAGAGGAGAGGTGAACATTGCAGTGCTGGATGCAGAGGAAAGGATCTTTTTGTCACCAATGCAATTTTTGCCCCAATGCATGAGATTAATTGCCCTTGTTGTAACTTGCATAATTTGTATGTTATTAATGCTTATACAGTTCCCTGGCACATTTGAAAATCCAGTAGCAGCTTTGACTTGTGACTTTCTGTAGCTGTGAAGTTTCTGTGAAGTTGCCTCATCCTGACGTGTAGTGCAGAATTTCCACCCCATATTGTCTCCTCTCTTTGTTCCCCCCATATTGGTCAGGGTAAAATGAAATCTCTGGTTAGCCTTTGCCTTGAGAGTGAGACTGTGGTGGGTGAGAGTCTGTAAGAAAATCTGGCTGCTGCCATGGATCTGTCTCCTGGTTTTCAGCAGATGAGTATCACCAGACCTGCCTGTGTAGTCTGAGGGTGGCTCTTCCAGGTAGGTAATGCCACCTGCCTTGCAAAAACACATCCCAGCCTCTGTAACAGCATGGAAGAGGTTCTGACTGGGACATATCTCAGCATTCAAGAGCAATCCAAGGCAGGGTAGCAGAGCGGATAGTCTGGTCGTCTTGTTGAAAATTACAGTTTCTCCATTTTTAAAAACCAATCCCCATTTCAGGAGCATGGAATTGATTGTGCACCCTATCACTCCAGCAGCAGGGGCTCCATGAGACAGATTCAGGCTATTCCTGTGCTCTCCTCTCTGCAGCTATGAAAGCAAATTTTCATTTTCATAACAAGTGAAAACTGGGTGTTTCTTCTTCTCATTATTTCCTGAGGGACTCCAAGAGAAATGAGTTAAAAATTGCAATGGGAATGGCTAATAACACTATCTCAGGAGTGGCTAACTATCTCAGGAGCTCTCCAGCCTGTAGAGATATTGCTGTACTGCCATGTGTGCTCTCCAGGAAGGGTTTCTCTGTCTGTCTCCAGCTAGGATGCTTTTCAGCTTTCATGTCTGCATTAAAGAATTTGAGACATAAGAAGATGTCTGTCCACATGTTTATTCTTGGATAAATGTGCTGTGTGCCTGAGCAGGTGTCTGTGTAAGATCAGAGGGAATGGCAGTGTTAGCAATGAAGGATTTCCCCAGCTTTATATGATGTGAAATGCCAGGCAGGTCACAAGACACCTTTTCCAAGGTGCTAAGTGTGAGTGGTGGCACTGGGGGTGCACTGGGTGACACCCCCAGCTCTGTGCAAGCCACGGGTGTTGAGCTTTCATTTCTGACCCTTGCATTTCTCCAAACATCAGGGTCTCCCAGGGAGGCAGAGGCTGGGATTTGCTCTCAGGGATGTGCCAACAAGCTCTACAAGGAGCTGTCAACAAAGGGCTCCCACTGGAGCAATCATTCCTTCACCACTGCAGCTTGTTCCTGCTTCACCACAGGCTCTGTGAGCCTCCCCCAGAGCTGTCTGCATGAGGGGCTTTGGACAGCACATCTGCATCCACCACGAACGGGGACTCGTTCCCCTGGTGTGGTTTGACCAGCAAAGGACCCATGGTCTGAGTGGGTCTGCAGAAAAGAGCTGTGAGAGCGACACTTGGTCTTCAACCCTGCCTTCCAGGTGAGGCTGTGGAAATCCCAGTCACCTGGTTTGCCTCTGCATGAAGGAAACAGCAAAGGCACATGCCAGACAGCACTCCAGCTCATGGGATGGTTTGGGTTGAAAGGCACCATAAAGAGCATCTTGTTCCAGCCTGACACCATGGGCAGGGAGCCTTCCACTGGACCAGGTTGCTCCAAGCCCTGTCCAACCTGGCCTTGGTTGTTTGCTCAGCCCCCAGGACAGCAAGAAAAGAGCAACAGTCAGACTTTCCAAAACACTTAAATAATTCAGGAAGCCAGGTCCCACTGGTAGTCACTCCCTCTCCAAGAGGTGAGCAAACACAGGTACAGAAGTGTTTCATCTCTGTCCACGCCACAGCTTTTATTCTGATTTATTGCAGAATCAGCAATAAAAAGCCTGATGTGCTGCAATTGCTCTTGGTTTGTTTAAACCCTGAGACACCACGGGAGAAATCCAACTGGATTTGGGTGGAGGGAACACACATGCACTCCCTGATGCTTCAGGATGCACTTGCCATCCTCCTGTGAACCACAGCAACTTGAAAGACTGGGAGGTCCCAGTGTAACATGTCCCTGTTACATTTGGTCTGTGCTTGGAAAAAATCTCCCATTCCTTCAAAATGCAGGGCTTCCCTCCTGAAACAAGCAGCCCAGTCAGCTGGGGAGATTCCCCAGTATCCTCATTCCGTTAGGAAGATTTTCCAATTTCTGAAAAGTGTTTAAAGAAACAGTTTGCTTGGCTTCACTTCAAATATTTAGCTCTTTTTCAGCAAGCCAGAGGTCACAGTGGGATCTGTAGGTCAGAAGCAGAAAAAGTTGCTTTACACAGTGAAACCCCACGACATAATGAGTTTCAAATGAGTGGTCATTCCTCTGACTGGAGCTCTCTAGCATTTAGCAGGAGTTGGGAGGATTTTTTTTCCCCCTTCCTTGTGAATGCTGGAGGGTTGGGGGAGCTGTGCACAGTTACACTTTTGTCAATTTTTGTGGGCTGGGAAGCATGAGGCATAAAAGCCCTTCTGTGAGCAGGGTCCCATGTCCAGGCACCCCCGAGCTGAGCTGGGTGGCTCAGGGTCCTTCTCAAGCAGCATCATTCACACAGAAGGCATTCCAGGGAGATGGGAAACCCCTCCTGCCTTGGAGAACACATTCAGGGATTGTTCTGCTCTCCGTGCCACGGAGCAGCCTGGGGCTGCTGCTGTCCCCTGGTCAAATTTTCCATGGAGTTTCTGGTACAAGGCTTGGAAGCTTCCAGATGCAAGCCTGCCTGCTGCTAGGTTGGATTGTTTCAGTAGATATAGGAGGCTGAAGTGGGTGGGGAAATGAGCACCCGAGCAAACAGTGACACATGCAGTGGGATTTTTTCATTTAGTGGTCTCAGCACTGTCCTACCCTGTGTGTAGATAAGAGGAGCAAAACTGATGTATTGATGATAAATATATTTAGGAGAATCCAAGTTTTTAGGTGGGAGTGGTAAATTGAATTAATTAATGCAATATAGCAATTAACTGTTGCTGACAGCTCCTGAGGCAGCTGCTATCCTGCACCTTTTGTTACTCAGCCCATCTAACTGTGCCACACAGCATCTTCCTCCTCTGCCAAGAATGTGGGTGGAATCCCAAATTCAGGACTCACCATGTTGGAACACATCAAGATCAATTATTTTTTACAATTTTTAGGACTGCTGGCAGACTACACCCTTTTCTCTCCAGAGCTGCCAGAGCAGTGTCAGATGTCTAACACAAGCCCCAGAAGTGCTCACAGCAGTTTCCTTCATGCCAGACTGGACTTCCCACTAGCATTTCATCACCAGGATGTGGCCACTTCCAGCAGGATAAGACCACATCAGTCTTTAGGGACAGGATGAGTCTGTGACCTTCCCTTGCCTGGATTACACTGGATGCACTCTGTCAGACTCATTGAACTCAGTGGTGAAGGCTCTGTTTTATCTCAAGAGTCTCTGCTTTCATAATCACACTTTTAATCACTAGAAACTGTGACTGGATTCTTCCTCCCCTCTCCCCTCTTTCTGCTTAAGACTTTTTAGGATTTTGTTGCTGTGTTCACTCTGGAAGAACCTGCACCAGCTTTTGCTGGGGGTGTGATTAGTCTCTTATCCAGGAGCTCTGGATTGGCAGCTGAGCTTCCCACAATCCAGGTTTCCTCCTGGAATCCATCACTTTCATCTGAGAGTCACACCACGCCGAGCTGCTCCCTGCAGCCTGACACTGCTGTGAGCCTGCCCTGGGCTATGGTGGAGCACAAACTTCAAATGACTGCACTGCTGTGGGCTGTGGGCCAAGTGCCTCACTCCAAAGCTGAATTACAGCTGAATTCCCTCCTCAAATCCAGCAGCAGGCTGGATTTATGAACCCTATTCAGAGCTACCTCGATTATTGCTTATGTGTAAAAGCTTTTTAGGAACTCATCTTTTATAGAGACTTTGCTGGCCTGATTTCTGTCACTTATTATTCATTATCCTACATATTTGAGACTGGAAAGGCTTGGGCTGAAGCATTTTTGCCACCACAGACTTGTTGAATTACCTTAAGCAGCACATTCAGTCTCTGTTTCAGTGTTCCACCCAGTAAGGTGGGCAGGTGATTCCACAGTTTGCTGGGAAGATGAATTTATTTAAGACTCCTCAGTGTCCAGGTGCCCTGGCTCCAACAGCTGTATGGATTTTTTTTAAGTGAGAAAGTGATACTCAAGCACCTTAATTTTAATTACAGCTCTTTCAGTTTCACTGGAAATTCACAGACCGGGCTAAACAAGAATTTCAGGTGAAAAATTAGAAGGAAATTAAGAATGGGGCAATAAATGTATTCAGGCTGAAAATTTGGGAGGAATTTAAGAATGGGATGTTAATTTGGGTAAAAACTGCCATTTGAAAAGTTCAGTCTCAATCTTTTAATTAAACAGCCTCTTACAGCAGAGCAACATGTTGTGAAATAGCACTGAGCATTCAGCAACTGTCTGTTCTGCAAGGTGAATTCTTAAAATGCATTATTTTCCATTAAATTGCAGTATAAATAAAACTGAATAGAGATCAGTGCACTGATGTTCTCTCAGAGGACAGCAAAGGCACTGAACTTGGCTGGCAGTGGCATGTTTAACTGCAGTGAATTTCCTTGGAAATCAGACCCTGAAGATCTTGGCCCCAAAATGCTCAATGGAAATCCTACAGCTTGCAGAGAAAGTGCCTGAGTGGTTTTTTATCCCCTTGCCTGTGCTCCCCTAGCTTGAGGGTGCATAAAGACCTCCTCATGGCAGGGTAGAGCTCTCACACGTTCTTGGCAGAATTCTTGGAGCTGAATTTTCAGGTTGTTTCATCTCTCAGGAACGTGTTCAAGAGGACTTAGAATTGTTATTACCCTTGCCTGAAAGGTTAGCAGATCTTCTGTGCTGTGTATAACCCAGGCATAAACTATTCTTAGCTGCTTATTCCAGATAACTCCTTAAATATGCTTTGGAAAATATGCAGGGTGCTTTTAAAATATGGTGTAAAAGGAGATACTGGTGTATGTGATTTGAGGTAGATACTCTGACAGTGTCACAGTTCTAAGAACTAAGGAAAAATATAGATTTAACTGTGTAGAATATGGATTTAAAGAGTTTACATGGACATACTGCTATTCCCACTGTATTTCTGTCTGATTATCCATTTTCTTTCCAATCTCTAAAGGCAAAAATGTGGTTGGCTTGTAGGGGAAATGAGTTCACCCCAAAGAGCTGAACAATTTTCCTTTAGTAATTACTTCTGTTGTCTTCAATTCTGAGCAAAAATCAAGTTGTTAACACCCCCACACACTTCCGCTCCCCTCTGCCTGCTTCCATCCCCTTCTGCTGGGCTCCTCCCAGAGCCTGGGCTCCCCTGACCCGTGGAATGTTTGGTTTACCCAAATTATCTCAGTGTCATGACATGTCCTGTGGTGACAGACACACACCCCCTTCCACGGATCGTGCTGGGAACCCAGAGCTGAGTTTCCTTCTGTGGGTGCCAGGGAGGGTCCCAGTGCCACCACCCCCTGCCAGGGCACCCCAGGGCTCTGGGGCTGTGGCTTAACTCTGGCACAGCATCCATGCAGATTCCCACCATCCCCTTTTGACTCTGTTTTGTGTTTGTTGTGTGTTTTAGGGTCCCCCAGGCCCCCATGGAAACCCTGGCTCACCTGGCCCCCCAGGACTGAAAGTAAGTATGAACTGGTGCAAGGAACTTTTATCTTCCCATCCCACAGGACATCCTGGGGGAAGGACAGCTTCCTTTTCTCCTGCTCTGGACAAAAGCACAGTGGCTGAAGCCATTCTCCCCTCCCTCCTGCTCTCCCAGGGGCTCTCCAGCAGCACAGCTGAGCCTTTTCCTGTGCCCAGAGAGACCCTGCTCTGTGCCTCCATCCTTGGTTCTCCTGAATTTCCAAGACTGCCAAATTAGGATCCTGATTAAGCTATGCCTGTGCCAGGGCACAAACTGCTGTGTCAGACAAGGGCAGTGGAATCCTTGCTCCAGAGCTCCAGCAGCTCTGAATTCCTTTGCTTTCTCATTCCTCTCCTCTGGATTTTGCAGCCTGTGAGTCTGGGCAGTGGCAGGAGTGACTGCAGCACCCAGCATCTTCCTCTGCCTCTCCTCCTGAAACTCCTCCTTCTGTCTTTCCCTCTCCAGAGTTTCTGGGAACTCTGAACTCCACCAGTCCTCCCAAACTGATCTCATGGCTCCCTTCTGGATGCCCTCAGCTCTCCCAGGAGGGCTCACAGAGCTCCTGCAGTGCCAGGGGCCCTGTGCTTTGTCCTTTCTCCTGCACACGCATTCCCTCCGGGTGGGAGTCACCCCCTGCAGCTGGACCCTCTCCCTTTGCCTGGGATTGAGCACAGATGTGGCTCTGGAGGGGTCCTAACCCAGTCTGCAGCAAAACCCTTGCAAAAGGTGTTTTAAATCCCAGCTCATTCTGTGTGTAAGGGTTTGTGTTACCTAAAGACTGAAGTTCCTGGAAAACTGGTTTGGATTGCTTTGGTATGATTGTTTACAAAGGAATAGGTTTATATTTTATAACATCTGTGTTGGACTAAAGAACAATGGAGCTTGGAGAGGCAATATTTAGCAGAGTTTTTCAGTACCAGGGAGCTGTAGGAAATCTCAGCCAAACAGAGAAAGGTGCAAGCTATAGTTCTGTCTTTTCATGATCTCATCAGTAGGCAGAGATGTTATGAGCACTATTGATGCTCTGGGAAAAAGATTCTGGAAACTTGGCATGCTGCCTCTATGTGATTAAAAATTAGGCACTGGAGACATGCTGGTGAACAGCAGCTGGTTTAAATTCCACATACAGCCTGAAAAGTGAGCCTGTAAAAGTGCTACATCTTAGTGTTCTGCATTTATTCTCCATCAATGACTTCCAGATCACACTTGTTGAGTTTTATAAGTCAAATCAAACTTCTTTTATCTAACTTCCAGCCCTGCAAATCCAGCCTGGTCCAAGCTGTGGAGTCAAGTTATGTTTCTATTCTACAGGATTTTTTTAAACACTTTTAGCCTAATGACTCGTCAGAAATCATCATTTGGCTGTAAAGCTCTCTTCAGTTGGTCACCTAATAGAAATTAAGTCTTTCTGTAAGCATTTTTCCTCCATCTCAATGCACAGTCTGGCAGCAGGAAGTCTCAGTGGATGGAGAGCTGCAAGTCTGCAGCAGAGATCTGGTCTCATCAGGCTCTGTGATGTATTTTATTTTTGTCCAGCCACCATTTGCAGGATTGTTCTATTCATGGTGCTTTGTCAAAAGAAGTGTTAGGTTTGCAGCAGGATGTCAGAGCTGGAGCTCAGCCCAGGTGAAGGTTCACCTCTAGCAGGGAGAGCCTGGTGAGCTGTGGTTACATCACCTCTGCCTCAGAAATGCTCTTTGGAAGGTGTGGATCAGATGCCAGAGTTTTGACTTCCCTCATCCCCTTCAATTCTCTGGTGTTACAGCAGTGCCAGAAAATGGACTTTGCCCCAAAAAGTAGTTTTTCACCCCCTTATGTTTTAATTGCCTGCACCTGGGACCTGATTTCTTCATCATAAGATCATCAAAGAATGGTTTGGGTTGGAACCTGAGAGCTCATCTCATTATGGGCAGGACATCCTCCACTAGACCAGGTCACTCAGAGCTCCATCCAGCCTGGCCTTGGACACTTTCAGAGATGGGGATCTTCTTGACAGACCCAGAACATGGCAGAAATTCTGGATTTGTGAAAGCTCAGCCTGCACAGCAGAGCAAAGCAGCTCCAAGTGGAACTTCTCTTGCTGAGAGCCGTCAAGTGGCTGCTGGGCTTGGTCTGGCTTAAACAGCAGCTAATCCCACACAAAAAAAAACCCCAAGCAATCTAAGAAAGGAAAATGAAGTTTCCCAGATAGATACAGCTTGGAAACCATGACTAACACCAAGTCATTGTCACTTAAGGAGGGACCCAGGAGCATAATATTTATCAGCTGAATGAGCAGGGCCCTTGTAAGGTCAGGCAGCTCTGCACAAGGGCTGTGGTGTGGCACTGCAGCCTCTGGGTGTTTTTATGTGGCTCCTGCCTGGCTGTAGTGCTTTGTTGTGTTTCTGCATTTCACAGTCAACCCTGTGCAGAGCCACTTTATTCTCACTTTATTCTCACCACTGGAGCTGAGCTCTTGTAACTCCCTGGGCTTAGGGAACTGATCTTTTGCACAGAGCTCTTCGTAGCTGTTGAGCCAAAATCCTGCTTGGGCAAGGTTCCACTGACTCCAGTGGCATTACACCTGCTTGTGCCACCTGGGAGCTCAGCCTGTGGTGCTTAGCTCAGCAATTCATGATGTGAAACTGCTTAAAGGGGGATTCTTCCCACTTCCTGCATTCTGCTTGCTTTTGCCCTTGGCAGCTGTAAAATTGCTGTTGCATTTGGTTGGCAGAGACTGATTATTGCAGATAACCTCTGCAATAGCTGTAGACACAGGCTGGGCTGGGGCTGTCACCTGAAAGCTGCTGGGGGACAGGAGGAGTGTTTTTGCTTTTTTTTTTAGCTCTCAGGGTGCCCTAAAAACATTTGGGATCAGGCAGATGGTCAGAGAAGGTGTGTTTTCAAAAGCCATTGCAAGAATTGGGTTTGCATCTCTCACCTGGAGGCTTTTGGCATCAGGTATTAGGATGATTTGCTGACCTGGATAAATCTCTTCTTAAAGCACTTGAAAAATATTGTATTTTTAGTTTAGTGAGTGCTTTTTCTCTCCAAGGTAGCTCATCAGTTTGGCTCACTGATAATTAAAATAATATTAGTGGGATTGAAAAACTGAGATGTTTAAATTGCACAGCTCTAGACTTCTGCCAAGTAGGAAAAAATCTCAGAAGAAAACAATTTCTTCCTTTACAACAGGAAGATGTGTTCTCAGTGAGTTAGGATGGGAAAGAGAGAAACTTGTGGGAAAGGTGTTGTGGCTTGGCTGGGACAAGATTTAGGTTAACTCTCCCATTGTCATTGCTGTGTAAGAAGGCTCAAGCAATTAATCCACCATTTCAGCCCTCACATCCAGCTGGTGCCATTGCTGATTGATCTTGGGGACATGTGATCCTGCTCGTGGCTGAGCTCTCCACCTGTGTGATGGTCTCAGCAGGGCTGAACACAGAGCCAGTGCAAAGCAGAGACCTGGCCAATGTGATCTGGAGCTTCCCAGGGGAAAAACCAAGTTCTTTTCCATGTCTCAAAGTCATTGCATGGAGCATATGGGAAGACTTAGGGAAAGTGGTGGGTGTCTACCTGCTGCAGTAAATGAATTTTGCAGAGTAGAAATGAACACCCAGCAATCCCAAGGGCTGCTCTAATCTGTTCCCAGCAGTGGCAGCACCCACTGACTGCTCTGAAGCTCAAGGAGTGGGAGAATTGCCCTGATAACAGCTGCATGCAAAGCAAGATTATCTGCATGACTTCATTTACTGTTTGGAAAGCCAGAGCCTTCATTGAGAATTTGTGCAGATACATCTGCCTTGAATCAGCAGTGCTCCCTACAGTCCAGAGCCAAGCAGTCTCACTCCTGAGCCTCACAGCCTGTGGTGGATGCTGGAGGAGGAGGAGAATGGGGGGGTTACACTCTGTGCAAGGTGGGAAGTGCACGTGGAATGTACTCACAGGGAGGCTGTGTGGGAAAGCAGCTCAGCTGGTGTGACTGGCTCTGTGCTGCTCATGAGGAATGCCAGCTAATAATTGCTCCTTTCTGGGTCTCCCCTCGAAGCACTTCACTTGACAGCCATCAGTTAACCCTCCCAGCTGTCCTGTGCTGATGGGCACACAGAGGTTGTGGGTTGTTTATGATTCATGGGTGTTAATAGTGACTGATCCTGGGATACCCACCTTGGCTGTGCTAGAAGAGATGCTCTGTGTGCTGAGCTTTACCTCTCTCCTACCCAAAGAACCTGGCACTCTTCAATCTCTTCTAGATTTTCCTACTTGCATCTCTCCCCATTGGGTGCTCACATTACCTTTCCACCTCTTGAGAATTTGAAGTGGGATTTCCAAAGGAATCTGCTGGAATTAGATGATCAAATGCTGCTGAGATCACAGCCTGTGTTTGTCAGAAGATCACAGCCTCAAACTGTAATTTCCCTCGTCACGGTTGTTAAGGAGGAAAATAAGGAATACTGCCACTTAAGGTCAAGTGCTGCTTTCTGCCAGCCTGGGAGCCTCACAATTGCTCTGCCTGTTGGGGGTGTCTAATTAGTACAACTTTCTCTGCAGTCTCATCTGTTCCTCACAGTTGAAAAAGCAACAGCATCTAGTGAGTTGTTGAGAAGGATGGTTCAGCCCCAGTAATAGGCTTGGTAATTATTTTTGTGATGTTAGTTGTAGACAAGGAAGGAATTGCAGCTGTCTGGTCTAATAAGTATCAAAAGTCCTGACATTGCTTTCTTCCAGTTATCCATTCTTTAGCCAATTGAATACTGTCAAGTACTATTTAAAACTCAACTCTTTAGCAGCAGCAATCACTCACCAAATCCACCCCCAGACAACAGCTATTCCAGGCCACTTTAATACATTTGGGATGTCAGGGAAGACTGGGATAAAACAAAATGTTTTTCTAATTTGGAGGCTTGGTGGAAGCAGAACCACATCTGTGGGCTGGGCCCTTGGATTATGTCACTAATGTAAGTTTTTCATTTCAGGGTCAGAAAGGTGATCCTGGGCTGTCACCTGGAAAAGCTCACAATGGGCAGAAGGTGAGATGTCACCCCGAGGCCACCGTGGGCCTCCAGAGCTGTGCACACACACAGGGGGTCTGTACTGCAGCCACAAGCATCCCAGCTGCTTAGGACTGGGAAATAAGGCTTAGATCTTGGATTCAGGACTAAAGAGAGGTAGCTCTCAGTGATCATAGTGCACTGAGGTGCCACCTGGCATGTGTTGTTGAGTATTTATCCAGTTTATCCACAGTCTGCAGCCCAACTGAGGTCCCTGCTTCAGCCACAGGCACGTGGCTGCTTCAGCCAAGTGTTTCAAGCAGCACATCTGAGGTGCAGCAAGCTCTGGGCATGCAGCTGCAGCAAGAGGCAATCCCAGGGAAAGGAATAAAAACCTTGGAGGCCAAGGAAAGGATGTTCTTGCTGAGGAGCTGAGGAACAGGGGTTTGCCTCATGCTGCAGCCCCATCAGGGTAGAGGTTTCTTGGTGGAGGCTTCTAAGGCATGGACCTCACTGAGAGGTTTCCACCAAAGGCTGCTCAAACCAACACAAAGCACCCAGCTGGGAAGGAAAGCTGCTTTCTGGATTTAGCAGTTTTTGAGGATCAGAGTTCTGCTAATTCCTTTCAATAAGTTACAACTCCCATTTTTGCTGTTTCACAGCTGAGTGATTTTTTACTGAGGCAACAAGGCCTCACAGAATTCTAGAAATGAACAGTAGGGCAATCAGGGCTCCACATCACCTACCTCAGTTAGCTCCTTCAGTGATGCCTGCACAATCCTTGCTAACTCATGTCCAGGGCAGAAGCCTGGTTCTCTTCCTCTCACCATAAGCCTTGCACAGCTCATAGAAAGCACCAGCCATAAGGAGCTTGGGCTCTTCATTTGACAGATGCCCCCATAAAGCACAGTGAGGCCACACCACTGCAGGTGGAAGGCAATGCTAGAAACCATTCAGAAGGCTAAGACTGAAACTATGTTTTTAACACCATGAGATGTCTTCTGAAATTCCTGGTACACTGTATTGTAGTGGCACCACATGGAAATCTTCAACCTGCACGGTCTGGAGCTGTTTTCTTGAAGACAATGCTTGGTGTAAAAAAGGGAAAGATCCAGATGACCTTCAGCTTCTGTTAATGAGGCTTTATCCCTGATAGCAGCAATAGGAATAAGGAGTTTCCAGCAGGAGTTTGGAGTGATGCCTAATTTTCAATCTAGATGCTGGAAATCTGTTGAATTTCAGTAAGAAAGAAGGCACTCCAGGGTTTATGGATCCTGATCAGAGGAGGCCAAGTGGGCTCACACAGCCGGGCTGGGTGTTGGAGAGGTCTCACAGCAGCGCGCTCACCCGTCCTGTGATGGTTTGGGTTTGCCAGCTGGGATGTGATGCAATCCCTTTTCAGAAGCACAGGCCACTGAGCAAACCCTCCCACCAGCAGCCTGCAAAGGTTCAGTCCGTGTCACACGGGCAGGTTAAATAATTACAGCACCAGCACCATCCCAACGGGAGCCATGGGCTGAGCCAGTGCAGTAGCAGAGTGTGAGAGCAAATCACAGGATTTGGCAGGAGGTACCTGTTGTTCTTATTGCATTTAAAATCTAAAATTTCCTTGCCTTGGCGATTTCAATGCCCATTGAAAGGCGAATGAAGCATGTGACTGAATGAGATCATTGAGGGGAAAAAAAGCACATTCATTCTGCTTGCAAAGAGCTGGACTCCAGCAGCAGCTGCCATTAATTAACTGGGGTTATTATTTATATGAGCCAGTTAATAGAGATGTTGTTTAAATCTCCTCTTCTTATCCAGTCAGGTTTTGAAGAGTTGTGATTAGAACCAGAAATATCAATAGCTGGGGGCTGGTGTTCAGCAAAATAATTGTGGTAACTGCAGTAGGCATAGGGAAAATGTTGCTGAAAACTAATTGAACTTGCTTGCTTCCTACAGGGAGATGTGGGTTTACCTGGTTTAACTGGGTTCCCTGGACCACCTGGTAGAAAGGTAAGAGTGTTCTTTTCTAGTGAATCCGATCAGTAATTTTATTTTAAAATTTTCTTCTACACTCTGCCTGAAAGATTTAATTTAAAGTCCCAGTATCCACCCAAAGAGCCTTATGCCTGTGTAGTAGGTGTATAACCTAGGGAGACAGGCTAAAGCAACTGCCTGAAGACTACGTAAGAGTTTGAAATGAAATTCTGGGTACAGAATTTTGTTCCTTCTTTGTATTCCTCATCCCTCTGCACCCTGACACTGGGTGTTCCTCAGCCAGCTCAGTTTAGGCCTGGTGCAGCCAATGCATTATCTAAAGGGATCTCCAACCAACAGCAACACTCAAAGCATGGATTCAGAGCAGTGCTGGCATTCCAAGGAAACCACAACTGTCTGTCCTGGTGAAGCACATTTCAAAAACATATCTGTGTTCCTTCTCTCTTTATTTTGCTTGGAGACTGTCAGCACTGGTCAGGTTTTGCTTTATTTGCTCCCATATTGATGCTTCAACACTGCTAACATTAGAAACACATATATGCCTAGAAAAGGGTATGTAGGGATAAAACACAAGATCCATCCCTGTTTTCCTGAGGCAGCAGGATGTGTTTCTATCCATGCATTCAAGCCTGCACAGCAGTACCTGAGCCATCCATATCTGGAGCTCAGATCTTTCATTTATCAAAGACATTTCAGCTGAGTTTCCATTCCAGGCTGTGTTGATAAGTTGGTTTCTATTTTTGGAAGCTGGACCTGTTGCAGGGAGCTGTTTGAGTGGGGCTCAGTGGCCACGACTCCCCCTCCCAGCAAGCCAATATTGCCACAGCTAACCTGAACAGTTAAAATTAGCGTCTTGTTTCCATCACTTCATCAGTCAATGGGCCATTGACCATACTGTGTTGCTCAGGTCAATTAGCTGCACACAAACACCTCCTCTGGTATGTTTTAAGACTCCAAGGAGAGAAAGAAGGTGTGGAGGAGGCTGACAGGAGCCCTCCCTCTCCACCATTATTTGTTGTATGCTTTATACGAGAACCTAATTGCCAAGAGGAGGGGCTGAGTTTATTTTTCTACTCCAAGGCTGGTCATGCTTGGGGTGCTGTGTGGAGTAGGAGCAATTGAGTGATTAATTACAAATCTTTTGCTGTCACAAACAAATTCTAACTAATAGGGTGCAAAGAATACCATTTTCCTGGTATAACAGCTCATAAAACAAAACCTTGTGGTTACGATCAGCAAAATGCAACGTCAGGAGTGCAAGCTCTCATAGTGGAAAAAGCAGAGAAGGAATAGGAGATTGAACAAACATTCCCAAGTCCAGCACATGGCCTTCACATCTGATCTTAACTCCCACAGGACAGGGTAAAGGCAGGGATATGCTTCTGTTTCTTCAAGTAATGAGCAAGTTGGATGTTGAAATTTTTCCTTTGGTGCAGCTTAAAAACACCTCCCAGTAGCACTAGTCTGGCAGTGGGTTTGGTGTAACCTGGCTTTTATTAGCATCTTGCATTAAGAAAAAATTTACAGCTGTTGGAGAAATGTTTGGAAAAATCTTTTTCTTTTTCTTTTTTTTTTTTTTTTAATCTGGGTTGCCTGCTGGCATTCTCCCAGTGAAAATACACTGCTGCTTGGCTGAGGGTGGGCAACATATCTTGGCTACCGGAAAACAGCAATGCCTTGGAAATGGACATCCCTCCTCTCACTCCATGGAGGTGCTGCAAAAAGGGCTCTCAGGGCTTTGATCAGAGAACACCATGTAGAAACCTTCAAATGGGTAAAATATTTCACCAGGATAAACAAAATGCATTTCCCACTAAATGAAAGCACAGTCTCAGCAGCATGAGCTGGAGCCACAACCATGTGGTTTTGGACAGTGTGGCTCATTCCTCGGTGCCTGCCGTGGGAATGCTGACAGACTGGGATTGGGCTTGTAGGATTGGACAGGCTGATCTCAGAGACCCCCGAAGCTGTTTTAGCTCCACACATTTACGAGTACATGGAACTGCCTTAGAAGCAGCAGGTGTGTTTCTCATCCTCTCCACACAGAGCAAACGGTGCCTTTGCAGACCAGGAAGGGTGGCAGGACTTGGATGTCCCCTCTGGTTCCTATGAGGTATCTGTGGGCTTTGGCTTTTGGTTGGGGCTGCAGACCACAGCTGCCTTGGAGACAGATCTCAGCAGAGCAGCATGATTGCTCCAGAGGAGAAAACAGCAGCAGTGAGAGAGGCAAAGCTTCACTGGAGTCAGAGAGCAAAGACAGAGCTGGGAGGTGGTCAGCGCCTCAAAACATCCTGTATGCAGGTCTCATTCCCTGGCCCCTTAATTCTTCACATTTCCTACCAAAGTGCAGGATGATCCCTTTAGCTAGGAGAGAGTGGATTATAAATATCATCACAGATGAGTAAATCCTTCACTGGAGTGCAATTTCCTTTTTAAATCACAGCCCTTTGTGTGGAGTGCCCTGTAATCATCACAAAGTGTTCAGATAAAAGAGCAAATGCACTTGTTTTCATACCCTCTGCCCTGTCATTTTAGTGCTATTTGAAGAGGATTTTAGCAGGTAAATACTTTCACACTGCAGCCAGCTTTAACATACACAAGCTTTTCTGGTTTTCCTTCATTGTAATTCACCTGAGGGAGAAATAACTGGGGTATATTGTGAGGAAATACATGTTTGAAACTCTCCAGAGCCCAGAATGAGAAGGATATTTAATAGAACATAACAGTAGCACATAACAGTGCCTACATATTTAGGAACATAACATATTTAACCTAATTGCCATTCACTTACCACTACAGAATTGGTGAAGAATTTAGATCAGGATGTGCTTTGAGCATCTCAAGGGACCATCATGCAACCACCTACTTTGAGTGGACACTGCAGGCTCAAAACACCCATCCTGCAGAAACCCAGCTGGAGCACAATGGTTCAGAGCAGCCAGGCCAGGCACATATTTCTTATCAGTGGAAAAGTAAGATATTGTTAAGCTTGGTTTTCCAGTTGTCTAGAGACAAGGCAGCACCTGCTCCAGACTGGAAGAACTGGGCAGAGGTCCCAGGAGAAAACCCCATGGAAATCTAAATTTCAGGGAATGGCTGGGGATGCTGAACTCAGGGATGTTTCTGTTGGAAGCTCTCACCTTCAGGCCAGACACCCAACCAGGGTGGAGCATCCTCCCTCCTCTCTGTGAGCCTCTGTCAAGGAGCCAGGGAGAGGATGAGCAGGAGGGGATTTCATGGGGCAGATTCCTGGAGAGGGGCAGGGAATCCTGAGTGCTCCAAGAGCTGCTGAGGCTCTTCCAGTGAGGAATCCCTGACTGAAATGTCCTCACAGCATTTGCAGAAATGACCCTCGAGGTGGTTCAACCAAGGGGCTTTCAGGGCAGCCAGGTCAGAAGGTGCAGCTGTGTCCAGAGCAATGGTACATCAGCAAAGCCAAGCAGGAGAGCAGTGGTGAGAAGGGAATCAGCATCGTTGCAGGCCAGACTGTCTGAAATAACAAGGCAGGAGGAATGCAGAGGGGAGAGGGCAGTGGCCAGCATGGCTGGGAGCACTGCACACCCTGCCAGCAAAGGCTCAGGCTGCAGGTCTGGAATAGCCCGTGGGAAGAATAAAAAAGCTGTTAAGCAGAGGTGTGGACCTGGGAGCAGAAACAGTCCCGGCTTCGTGTGCTGAGTGGAGCCAAAGGCCAAGTGCTCGGTCACCCCTGTGGCTGGTGATGGCTTCCAGAGCAGGGACACTCCCTGTGGGCTTCACAGACAGATGGGGTGTGCTGGAGCCCTGGCCAGGACAGGCTGAGTGGCAGGGACTGAGGTACAAGCAGTTGTAACCCACTCTTGAAAGCAATTTGTTATTTCTTCAGTATTTGTTCAAGGGTTGTTCCATGTTTATTTTTTTCTCTCCCATTTGTTTTAAGTTAAATTTTCTGGTCTCTTTTTTTTTAATCTTGCTGCTAGCCCAGCTAAACAGTCATCTCTGTAACTGAGTTCAATCTCCTGATCTGCTTCTCTTAATGGAAGCTTGTTTTAAACAGCTGAAGCAAGATAAGAAAGAAGAGGGAAAAAATCTGAACAGTCCATCACATAAAGAATTCACTCTGTTTGAAGGGCGCTCTAGGTAAATCTGGGAGAAAGCAAACTCCCTTAAAAGACACACAGTGCTCAGTCTGCAGTCAAACAGGCTGCCCTTGTCCTGCTCCAGTGTCTGCATCCCCCCAAAAAATGAAATATTGACAAACTGCAGTAGGATTATGAAAGACCTGTGAGAATGATTTGAAGCCTGAAACACGTGCCAGTAAGTAAGGTGGATTAAGAAACTCATTCTAATTAATTCAGCAGAGAGAGCAGGTTGAGAGGCAGCTTGCTCACCAATTTCGGTAGCTTCATAATGAAGCACTCTGGATCTTGTAATAATTAGATTAGAAAAGCTGGAAGCTAGACAAGTTCAAGGTAGAAAAATTGAAGTTTCCTGTGACAGTAAATGGTTGTTTTGGTGTTTCCTGTAGCATTTCAAACTCTAAAGCAAAAGCAAGAGCTCTGAAACAAATGGCTCATGTTGCTGTAGTCCCCAGTGTACCCAAAGCCAGCATTTCACTCTGTGGTTTCCTGAGGATTAAGGACAGCCTTGCTCAAGGTGTAGATTACAAATAGATCTGAGAGTGGAGACCACTCCAAATGTGTTCATGGAGCAATTCTTTCTGGAGTATGTACCACCCAGACCACAGCAGGGCACATCAGCAGGTTTGGGTGGTGCAAGCACTAAGCAGCTTGATAAAAGTTTTCATTTTTGTATAATGTTCTCTAAAATCCTGCTTCTCCTCAGAGCTTTAGTCCCACCTGCAAAGAGAAATAGAAACCAAACCCAGATTATTGTACTTTTTTTTTTTTCTCAGTATTCATCTCTTCCATCCTATTTTGACAGGGATATAAAGGCTACCCTGGACCACTAGGTCACCCTGGAGACCAGGTGAGTTTTCCCACTTCCCAACAGGGGAGCTTTGAGGAGGGATGGATTTGCTGGCTGTGATGCTGGTTTGGCTCTGGTGCAGCCTGCTGAGTGTGGACAGGCAGCTCCTCCCAGGGCAGCTGGGCACACACACAGACCCAGAATCCACGGCACGGTGGGAGGAGACTGCCTTGGAGTTGCTACATCTAATTTCTAATTTTTACTAAGTTTACTTGGGGAAAGAAAAAGCAGCTCACCACCCTACCCCTTTATTTGTCTTTTTACATTAATTTCACCTGGACTTTACTAACCACACTGTGTTGAGCATATGTGATTCCCTTCCCAAAGCCCATCCCTCCCTCCCCCTTTCTTCCCCCCCTCTATTTAGTTAAGTTAGATGTTTGCAATGCAGTAAAAAAAAAAAAAAAAAAAAAAAAAAAAAAAAAAAAAAAAAAAAGGCAATGAATAGCAGGCCCTGTTAGCAACGATGTTAAAGAATATTATACATGAATCCATTTAGTTTTGTAGAATTTTGGCAATGCTTTCCCACCAGCAAAACGGTTCCATATGCCAGATATAGATGCAGCCTTACACCTTCTCTTAGTGTCCTTGTTCCAGATTCTCTGCTGCTTTTCCCCAAATGAAGGGAGAAGGAAAAACAGCAGTGCTTGCTCAGTGCATAGATCCTGTTGACTCGGCTTCCCTGTGTTTTCCCTCCTCATTAATTAACTTCATTATCTACCCTTAATATTGTTTTCCTCGCGATAAATGTGCATCAGGTTGATCCACTCCACAATGATTCAGCTAAAAACACTTCACATGTGAGACATTCACCTGACTTTTTGTTCTTTTTCTTTTTTTCTCTCCAAAGGGTGAACGAGGACCAGCTGGAAGTCCAGGTGCCAAAGGTTATCCTGGCAGGCAGGTGCAGTAAATCTCATTGTGCTGTGCAGAGTAGGGATTTGGGTGTGCAGGTAGCTAAAGACATGCCCCACTAAGGACAGTGCAGTCCTCTAGAAAATGTTGGTATATTTGAATATTTGATCTCTGAATATTTTCCTTTTTCCTTCCTCAAGATGTTTGTAGCAATAACACAGTCTTTCAACTCTGAAATGTTGTTAGAAAGTATTTTGTGGCTATTATAGATAAAACCTGAATTTCCACAGCAAATTATGGCAGATTTTTCTTCAGTAAAGCAACAGGGGAAAAGGAGAACAGCAGAACACAGAAATAAATGTGAAAGCTAATAACCCTTCTTTTCTAGGTAAATTTTGCATCTAATGTTGTACAAGTTAAAAACCTAGGATGGAAAAAGGTGTATTTATTATTGGAGGAGGAGATTTAAATGAACTCCCATTAGTAAAATGCACTGGCATAAACCTATGTCTACACACATAATGTTATGCATGAACTGTAAATATGTATATAAAAATCACATTTTCAGCTGCAAAAAAGAAAAAGATAATGAAAGACAGTCAAGTCATTGTTCTCATGCTGAAAAAAATTACACAAAGACAACTTTAGGAATGAAGCAGTGTGCATGGGGTAATGGATGAAGACTGGACACTTTGCTGTCCTACTGATGAAAGGTGCTGACTAGTGTAAAGGAAAGAGGAGACACCAAAAACCTAAGAACCTAAAGAGTAAGACCCTAAAAAATCACATCTTGGAGGGCAGAACATCTAGCCCTATAACATTTTGTGGTGAAGTGAGTTTGTCAGGGTTTTCTAGAATGGACACATTTAATGCTGGATTCAGCCACATTTATCTGTAAGCCAAGAGACCAGGCAGATGTCAAAGATCCCAAATGCTCTGTCCTGAGTCTTTCAGACTCTTCATGAGTTTGGATGTGAATTTTTTATGCAGATGTGTAGTTTATTGGATTAAATGTGAACTAGACTTGCAGAACAAGTATGCATCTCTCTACTTCAGACTGTCAATAATGCATGACCCATTTTAAATTGATAATTAAGCAGATACCTTGCTTAGCACACTGGAGAGTGCAGATGGCAGAACTGGATGGGAGCTTTATGCACCTGACTAAATGCCCCATTCATACTCTGAAAGGCTCTTAGAGCTGAGCATGCCAGAGAGTCTCCTAGGTGTGAATGTGTGTTAGATGACTAATAAGAGGAGGTCCAAGAGATTTTGGACGTACAAGGTTAATGAATGCTGTTCAGCAATTCAGCCAATCAGATAAGCAGGATGAAATCTGTGCCTTGACATTCAAAGAACAAATCTGCCTTCTTAGAAACGTGGTTTGGGTCAGGAAAGTGACTTTTTTATTTTTTTAAGGCAGCTTTTTTCAGCCTATCTGAATGCTATGTGTATCCTGCATCAGGGCTGTTTACTTTACAGAGATTTTACTACTTGTTACTCCTGTCAGCTGTGCTGGCTCTGCAGCCATGGGAGAGAGTGCTTGGCTCGGGTTTGGTTTGTGCATCACAGGCAGGATTGTAACTTCACCCTGATGCCTGAAAACTTTGGCAATGATGCAGGAGCCAGGAAAGAGCACAGCCCAACTTTGACATCCCAGGCTGAGCCTGCACTGCTGCCAGCTGAAGAAAATATGGACTTAGCCTTTTTTTTTTTCTTCCCTCAGAAAAAATCCCATCAAAATTTGGAACTTGAAAAAAAATTGATCTGGAAACTGCTAGAAGGCAATAAACATGAAAATTTATTTTGCATTTTTGCACTTTTCTTCTTTGCAGTATTTTGAGTGAGCAGCATTAGGCATAGAATTAGAACGGGGAATTAGTGTTAAATTCTTTCCAGAGCTGATGCTGTAAAGGGTTAGAGATATCACAGTACCTGCATTGCTAAGTGACTTTCTGGGCTGTAGAAATTTCTCATTGCACAGTGTTCCCTCAGCAGTTGTTGGAATACATTTGCTATGCATGTGTTTGCTCAGGCAGGAGGATGAGTGGAGAACTGTTGAGCACAGAGCATCGCTGTGCCTCACATCCCAAGTGTAACACAACCTCTGGGCACCCCACTGCCTCAGCCCTTGTGGTCTTTATCATCAGAAATCTCGACTTCAGCCCCAGGGAAGGCTCACTGTGTGCAGCAGTCTCAGGTTCTGCCGAATCCCAGCTCCCCAACAATGGCAGATCTGTTATTTGTATTATTTGGTCTTTTTTTTCTCCTTTGTTGATACTCCTTGGATGCTGAAAGCAAAACCTTAAAGCAGAACCATGCAGGGATGGTGCTTGGGGGGTTGGCACTGCTCATTATTTTATGTTAAAGCTTGTCCACATTTGTCTTTATTTTTTCCCTTCTGTTCTAGGGTTTACCTGGCCCCATAGGGGAATCTGGCCCAAAAGGCACTCGGGTAAGCAACCTTTATTTGCCTTTTCTCGGCTTGTTTTTATCAAAGACTTCTCAAGAAACTTTAGGCTTGATTTTGCAGTTCTGAAGCTGGTTGCTTTAATTTGTTGGGCTTGGGGGATTTGAGCCATGCGCCACTTGTTTACTGAAGCACTGTTAAGTTTTTTTAATTAAACATGGAATGTACCTTGATCAAAGCCCCCCAGTAGTGCTGATGATAAAGTCAGCCCCTTCAGAGCTCACATTGCAGGAGAGGAAAGAATGGCTTACAAATTGGTATCAAAGCCTGCAAGCCCCATGTCCCAAAGGCCTCTTTAGTTTCAATCAGTGTGGTTCAGCAGACTTTAACCACGCTGAGTAGGGGCTCATTTGGGTACAGGCCTGGTTTGGGAGTGGTTTATATCATTATGAACCACAGCAAGCCAGCATCTTGAAGCCATGTGCAAATACAAACAATATCTCCATCCTGTCTGGTTTTGCTCACCAAAAATAATTGCTGGGGTTTTATTCTCACTGCATAGGATTCTTTTTTTATTACTACTTAAGGCTCTTGTTAATCACATTTTGTTCTTTTCCTGCAATTATAAATTCACAATGCGACTCTAAGCCAATAAATCCCCATTTCTCTAACACGTGATACTTTCTCTATATGCAGTAAATTCAAGCAGCTGGCTTTCATCACTAGGAAAACTGCAAGGAATAAACAAATGCTGACCCTGTAGCTAGCAGTATTCCTGAGCTGGGAAGGGAGAGGGCAAGTTCAGTTCCTGCAGGAGAGAGGAAAATCTGAGACTCACCCCACTTCTGCAAGGGCTAAAGTTTTCCCTGGGGCATCTCTTCACTGCTCTAACCAGGACCTTGTGTAATTATCAGGTGGTAGATGTGCAGAATGTAAGATTTTGATGTTATTCTCTGTTTTGCACCCCTGAGTGGTGAGGACTGGAATATTTATAAATACCCAAGGAAGCCCTTTCTTAGTTCAAACACAGTAAATCATATTTGGGTGCTAAGGTAAGATAAGTGCATTTTGTGGCTTAAGGAGCCAGCTCTGGACTCTTCTTCATCCTCCACCTCTACTTTTTCCTTCTCCAGGAAAAGTTTGGGAGTTACGTGGTTCCTTTTAGGATTCAGGAGGCAAAGGCAGACAGGATCACTTTAATGAAGCATTATTTCCCAGCTAGGTGTTGTCCCTAAAGGAAACACAACCCACAGGGAGCAATGGACTGGTGAAAAGGTTTGGTGGGGTTGGCAGATGGAGATTTAGCAAGGATGGAGAAAGAAAGATGAGAGAAAAGCAGTGTTAGCACTTGGCTCCTGTAACAGCGAGGTGCCGCGGAGGGGGCTCCCTGCTGAAATTCACTTCCTCCGGGTTCGGCATGCTTGGCACCAGTCGGGCCTTTGCAGAGGCCCAGCACACAAGGTGACTTTGTCCAGGCTGCTGAGCAAAGGGATTAAACACAAGGCTGCCATTGTGGCAAGGGAAGGGAAACACTGTGTTTTATGCAGCGTGTCTTGTCTCAGCAGGGCCCCAAGGCCACGGAGAAACCTGGAAACACAAGGTTTCTGATGAGTGTGGAAGCTGCAGGTTTTATGTGAAATGTGTTGGTGCAAAGGTGGCTCCCCCATGGTGTGGATGTGCAAGTTGAGCTCACGTCAATCCCCCAAGCCTGGAATGTCAGGTTCAGCCTCTCCCAGCCCATGCAGGGCCTTCAGTGCTTGGGGAGATGAAGGTTTGCACAAGGTCCTGGTGGTGCAGGGACAGGCTTTGGCAGAGCCAGGACTCGCTGCAGGGTGGTGGCAGCCCTGGTGCCAGGAAAAGCGGGGATTTGCCTCAGAAAGGGCTGCAGTGTGTGACCACCAGGTGAAACAAGACAAACAGAAAAGGCTTGGTATCACAGAACAGTTGGAAATGAGTGTCAAAAGCAAAGACAGAGACAAACGGAGGTGTAGGTCTGTGGATTACTTTTGCCATCACTTTTGCTAACCTACAACCAAGCTCCATTTCCCTCAGGTACACTTAGAGCCAGCCCAGGTAAGATTTCTTCTGGCTGTCCTCTTCCTGCCTGGAGTCCTCCTGATCCCTGGTGTGAGGGTATGTGCCCTTGGACTACATCGTGGAAGCCAGCACCATGCAGTCCATGGGCATATACACTTGCCTCAAGGTTTATTTCATCACGGCTGCCACTGACCAACGCTGGAGGTTGCTCTGCTCTTCAGGAAGCACAGACTGACTGCATGCTAATGGAGAAACGTATTTGACTGCTTGTTTCCTCTTTTCTTTAGGGGTATATTGGTCTCCCAGGATTATTTGGGCTACCAGGAGCCGATGGAGAACGAGTGAGTATTTTGTGAAGAAAACTTTGGTGTGTTGGTTGAATGCAGTTCTTCAGAGCCTGATGTAACCTTCTCTATCCCTGCTCCCTGAGGAAGGAGGCAAGCATGACTAATGCTTACCTATCCTTTCTTTAGTCTCTTCCTACCCCAGAATGAAGACCTGTGTCCCTGTATAATGCTGATGTTCAGCTGAGGAGAACCCAGGCTTCAGGCAGGGCCATCAGACTTTGCTGTTGACTACAGCAGAGTTTTTCTATATTCTCCTTCACTTAAAAACCTGCCTTCCCTCTCCCCTTTGCCAGCTCAGCTTAGTGAGGTGGGGCAGGGTGAGGAGAATGTCCATGGAGATTCCCTGCTCCCACAGGAATCACTTCCCAGCCATGCTGCCTCAGCATTTTGTGTGCCTGACTGGAGATGTTTGGAAAGAACCTGGCTCTTGGAAGGGACAGTGCTGAGCTTTCTGAAAATGGCTTTATTTCCAGTTGCAATGAGTTGGGCAGACAAGCCTGGGGCTGTGAGTGGGCAGCTGTGGCTGTGCCCTCCCTTCCTCCCATCCTTTTCATCCTGCCTTCCCCCAGCCCAAATTTTCAGAGCTTTACAGGTCATCCCTTGCTTTTCCACTCTCCATCTCCACATCCTCCCACCTGCCCGATCTCTTCCCATCCAAGGACCCCCTTCTCCCCACTACAAGAGCTCCTAAAAAGATCACTGGAGGACGAACCCTGCTTGATTCCAGCCTTTCCTCCCTCAAATGCAAGCTCCAGAAACCAGAGAGGCCCCGGGACCATGTGGGAGTGTGCCTGCCTGGGAGGGGCCTGCCCTGCGCTCTGGCGACGCTGATTTAATGCTTGTATAACTAAATAAGAAACATAAACACGAGCTCTGCAGCGAGTGCCTCGGCGGTGGCCTTCATTTGGTTCCAGACCAGTAGCTTAATGACTGCTCCTGCTAAGCACAGCCCAGCCCGGGGATGCTGCCTGCGCGTGGCCTCGGGAGGCCGTAGTTAATGGGTGAAGGTTAATTGTCTTCTGCTCTCGCAGCCGACTGCAAGTAGCTGACATTTTGATTCCCAAACAATGCCACAGTCATTAGCCTGTTTCGCATTCTCCTTTCTCTTCTCATTTTGCTTTGTATTGTTGGTTGGCTGTTTGATTTCTCAACCAGAACTTTTTTTTTTCTCTCTCTCTCTGTGTTTTTTCCTTGCAGGGGATCCCTGGAGTTCCTGGGAAGAGGGGCAAGATGGGTAGGCCGGTAAAGTTTTTCCTCGTCTATTACGCAGACCTTGTTGAATGAAACTGGAAACAAGACATTTGGCTTTTGGCATTTTTTCATATCTTCAAACAAACCTTTCCATACCTGTCTTCTAGAGAGATATCGCTCTCTTTCTTTCTTCCATGCTCTGCTCAACTCCAAGCAGGAAGAAAACCAAAGATAGAGATATCGCTCTCTTTCTTTCTTCCATGCTCTGCTCAACTCACAGGCATTATTGCTCTTTTCTCATGCTCCCTTGGATCTCCCTCAGATTTTCTTCTACAACATCTTCCCTCCTGTCCTGCCTCTGGCCAATCGCTTCCCTAGATGCACTTTTTAATTCCCAACCATGATTGTACTGTCCCATGTGTCTGTACTGGCTCTGTTCCATCTCCTGCTTTGCACTCCCACCAGTTCTATCACATCTTCTATCACTTTTATCACATTATTCTCTTCTTGCTGTGTCTCTCTCCAACCCCTGTCCCATCCTGGTTTGTGTAATTCAAGTGTGGTTTTGTATAGAAACCTTTTTGTTCTTGGTGGTGCGACAGACTGGGGGAAATGTGTTTGAGGAGCAAGGAGACACCAGGTAGATGTGAGAGCTTGGCCAAGAGGAAGAGGTGTTTGCAAGCAGGGTTGAAGACAACTGTGAGAGCTGTGTAGAAGAACAAGGGAAACTATGCTGACTCTAGTAAAAAGCAAGAGCAAGTGGGAAAAATACAGAAATGAGCAGAGGAAACAGGGAAAGGACAGAAAGGAAAGGCTTTACCCCATCAACCTTCTTCCAAACGGTTCTGTACGCTTCCTTTAGGAAGCTGGATAAAGCTTTTTGCTCCAGGAGTCAGCAGAGAGCTCAAGCATGTTGGAGCCCTGTTGTATCTCATTGCCTTTGCACCTTGTCCTTCATGTTAGCCTGAGTTTCCTCTGACCTCTGGACATCATTGCACTCACAGGCTTCTTGCAAAATGTCCACTCACCCACACATGGAAAAACCCAGTGCTTTCCCCATGCCCCCCTTGGCTGGAGCACGTCCTTCCCAGGAGCCCCACGCCCACCACTCACTGCTGTTCACTGATGTTCTCACTGCAAAAGCCACGCAAGCACCTCAGCAGTGCAGACACCTCAGCAGTGCCACATCCATCCCAACTGTCCTTTGCTTGAGATGGGGAGTAGTCAAGCAGATTTATTTGGAGGGATATTGGAAATCTATACCAGATCTTTTGCAAGCTGCTGGTTGCACCAGAAACCTCTGTGATGAATAAGTGCAGAGCCCGTGGTGTAACCATGACTCACTGGCCAGGGCAAAACAAACACAGCAACTGTCGTTAGGTGCAGGGCTCTGCTCTCTGCTCTCTCTGCACAGAGCACGCTGCAGGCTCAAAGCCTTCCAGCTCTTGGCTGGCCAGGATTTGTAATCTTCCAGGCAAGGGTTTCGGTCTGGCGGTCACTGCTACAAGCAAGGGGCTCCCCTGGGATCAGCAGGGAATCTCTCAGCCATGGAATTAGGCTGGGATCTAGGGAAGGGATTAAATGGCTACACGTGAGCACCTTTGTTCTGCTTGGCTCCTTCAGAGAGCTCTGGCTCCATCCCTGTTTTGCGATATCAGGTTTAATAGGAAATCTTGAATGGACCGATGCTGACGGTTTGAACTTCCGAGCGTGAACAGAAAGATTAAGTGACATCCACAGTTACTCAGGAAGTCTCTGGGAGAAATGGAAAGCACAACCAGCTGACCTGATTCTCTTCCCAACACTTATCTCCTGGCCACTGCTGCCTCGCAGCTGCCTTGAGGTTTTTGTGAGCCTTCTGGGATTTCTCTGGTCTCTCCCATCTCTGCTCCCTTAGATTTGCTGGTGTGGCTGCTGTTCCTCTGCTGTCTCCGTGTTGTCATTGCTCTTGCAAGCCCTTATTAGCTGCCTTCAGAGGTGGTGAATGCTCTGGAGAGGAGGAAGGGGGTTGGTATCACACATATTTCTGTACCTAGCTTTGTTTGGGATGAGAGCTGGCAGTGGATCAGTGCTCAGCCGAGGAGGAGCTGGGGGCTGGGGGAGGTTGCATGTGACACCGTGGGCCTCTGAGAATGATGTAAGAGGGAATGATTAAAATAGAGGAACTGGACATGAGTCAGAGCTTGAAATCCTTCCAGGGAAGTTAAGTTTTGCAGAGCTGTGAGGGACATGGTGAGTCTGTCGTGGAAACAGCTGACTCCACCTCTCCCTGTCCAATATCAGCGATACAGGAGGCCAGTGCATCCCAAAATATGGGCCCTGGAGAAGGAGAGGGCTGGGGGTGGTCTGGGGGCAGAGCTATGTTTGGAGCCCAGTGCACAAAGGAGGCTGAAGTAACAGGAGTCTGTACATCTCTGGATCTGCCTGTTTTAGAGGTGGGCTGGGGGGCTGGAGCTGATGCAGCTGCCTGCTTAAACCTTCAGCCTTGCCAGTGCAGTGGCTGAAAAATATGTCTTTTTATGGTGTTTTTTGCAGATTTTTATGGTGTTCAGATGAGCAGCTGGGAAAAAAAAATATATATATATAAAAACAAGACCCCATCAGGGGTGCTGGGGAAGGAGTGAGGGAAGCTGTTGATAGCGTGTCTTGCCATGCAGAGACAACATGTCAGTCCTGGTTCATCTTTAGGAAGGAGCTGTGCTGCCACTGTAGGAAATGACTCATAGGAAGAGTAGGAGATAGAACTAGCTCAAGGAACACCAAGCTGTTCTTGTGCCGTGGGAGATGGGTGGCCACAATCAGAAGTGTCTGCAATGCAGATTGTATTAAACTTCAAATGGAGTGGAATATTTTCAGAAGTTCTTAAGCTCTGCTAAAGGAAAAGACTTAAAGGCAAAACTTCAGGAAATATAACCAAAGAGCTTTGAGCTTTTTTTTGGTTCATCTTTGGTTTTGATGTGTGCTTATATCTCTCTTTTTCACATAGAGTGCTCAAACTGCACCAGCTGTGCTATTTTTTATCTATGATTTTTTGCTTACAATCTGTTTTGTTAGTAGTATTCTTTTAAAAGAGATAGAAAAGAAGGAGGAGAAATTTAATTCAAAGACATACTTAGTAATTTTGAGGTTCATCTGAGGTCTATTCACAAGTCATTTAAACAAAACCTAGGGTTCTAAGTTGTTTTTTTTTTCTAAGAACCTGGTGGTGCTGCTGGTCCTGTGCTCAGAGCCTCGAGGTGCAAACACCTCATGAAAGAAAAGCCCTGGCCCAAGGGGTCCACAAAACAGCACAGGATCAGACCCTCCCCAGGGCTGGAAGGATTTGGTAACAGCAGCACGAGCAAGCCATTGACACCACAAGCAGATATTTCTGTCTCTGTGCTCATCGTTCTGGTTTCTCCCCATGACACACAGTGTCACACAAGCTGCTTGGCTCTTCCAGCTCTGTGCAAACCAGGGACAGCACTGTCTTTGGAGAGCTCTCCTTTGAGCTCAGCAGCTGCAGCTTAGCGTGGAAGTGCCGAGGATGACAGCTCATGTCTCAGGGAGGAGGTGCCATAAAAAGGCACATGGATTTGAAGTCACAGGGATCAGCATGGGAGTGAGCCCAGTAGGGTCCCTCCCCTCTGCCACCCACGGTGTGAGAGCCAGCAGCGAGCTGGCAGCCACTGGCACCAGCCTCAGAGTTTGCTGGGAGCACCAGCGCAGTGCCAGGCTGCTGGAGCTGGCACCCACTGCCCAGGAGCTGGCCACAGGAGGAGCCCCCTCTGTGCTCTCACAGAGAGTGGCACCTTCTCACCAGGCTGTTTTCCATGTGTGCTGTCTTCTTCTGTGGTGACTTACCATGCATTGACTCCTGCCTCCAGTGAGCACCAGGTTGCAATATATTGGTTTTTCCTTCATCTGATGAGCTGTCAGAAGGTCATGAGGTACCCCTGCCCTCCCCACCAGCATCAGCAGGCTCTTGCATCCTATGAAAAGGCATCAATTGCCTCTGGATAGCCAAAAGCAGGGCTGCCTCTGGGTCAGGAAGGTTTAATTTTGTAGCCCCCCAACCTTTTGATGGAGGGCTGAGATAGATCCATGCTGAATGTCAGAGAGTGAGGTTTGCCAGGGTTCACAGACCCGTGCAGACAGTGGGCAGACATGCTCTGCCACGTGTCTGGAGGGGCTGGCATAGCCACAGACCAACCACAAAACAAATGTTACTTCTTCTGAAGGAACTAAGGTGATAAACATCTCCTCTCTTGCTCCAGTCTTTTCTCTGCTTTGGATGCAGCTGAGACCCTTCCTTGAGTGAGTGAGCCGAGTCTCCTGCACCACATGAGCTGAGACTTGGGAATCTGGTAACAGCATTTCATGGTATGCTCAGATGTGGCCAGCCAAAGCCAGTAGAGATATGTGTGGGCTGAAGAGCTGTGTGTACAGGTAAATCCACAAGATGAGCTGCAGCAGGGAGCACAAATGGTCTGTAGGAGCTGATGGACAGGACTGGGTAGTGCTGCCTTGTGCCAGCATCCCAGCATAGCACCAAAATGTTTGGTGCCTTTTTTGGGAATTGATTAATTTAAAAGTATAATATGCTTTTAATCATTCTGTTTGCATGAAAAGTCCAGTGGTGGTCCTGAAAACTAGCCATGAACAAAGCTCCTCTTTTAATGAGAGAGTTTTAGCCCATGGATCAGATGTTTCCTGTTAGCCATTGAAGTAAATTCTTTGCTATTTTTTTGCTTTGTTAACCTGAATTTTTAAAATAGATGTGGTTTGAGCAATCGGTGACTTTTTTTAATGCTGAAGTTGGACACTGGAGCTGGGCAGCTGGTCTGGTCTCTCCACCCCTCTTGGCCTGGTTCACCACTCTGAGATGCAGGCGTGAGCCCAGAGCAAATGTCACCATCTCATTTTGGCCTGAGCTGTGTTCCACATGTCTGGAGTTTCCCGGATCTCTGTGGTGAGGGGCTTGCATGGTTACTTCTCACATGTTCCTATGTCCATGATTACACCATCCAAATAACCTGGCAAGGCGGACAATATCAGGATGTATTTCATAT